CCTGTTCTTGTACTACTGTTACTAGTCAATATATCAATGTACCAGCAATTGTATTACTATTACGACTACTAGTAATAGTCCTGTACTACTATTACTAGTCTCGTTCTTGTAGTACTATTACTAGTACAGGACTAGTACTATTACTAGTACAGGACTAGTAGTACTATTACTAGTTTTGTTCTTGTAGTACTATATACTAGTCCTGTTCTTGTACTATTATTAATAGTCCTCCTTGGTCTTTTATGGGTCTTTCTCTTTGCCTCGTTCGTATAAGCCAATAGCTTTACAAGATGTACTACTAGCCTATAATGTCGGTAGACGTAAGCAATCATTTCAACTCTAAATTTCATGTTAATGTGCCTATTAGTGCTTTTCGGTATTAGATTTGTCATAATATCGTGTATTAGAAATTTACAATGAATGCTAATTTAATGTCGTTGGCGAGTTTCATTTGCCAACGCCAAGTTCAAATATGTTTATTGAGACAAGAAAAAAATACATCTCAAAGGGATAGAGTAGCTTAGGCTATTTCGCCAACGCCAACATGGGCGTTGTGGACGGTGATAAACCTTTTCACGTAGAAAATGTTCCAGAGTTGAATTTCTAGATTTCCAGTGATCAAGTTCATTTTACAATATAAAATTTAATGATAGAGGGTTGCGAAAAAAATTCATAATGTAAATAATACATTTGTTAAAATTGCTTAGAAACTTTCAATGTCCAAAATTTAATATAGCTCATGAGCGCATATGAATGATGATGATGATAGTGAGAAACACATCCTGAAATATCCATTAAGCCAATTTGTTAGAATAAGGAAATAAAAAGTTGCAAAGCAAACTTCGGCAAATATAACTATGAATCATGTTTCTTATCACAAATCATAGCAAAACAAACTCAACGGTAATTTGCAGTTACATAATAATGCAATCAATAGCAGCAGAAAATTGTGACTTGATTATGATGAAGAAAGGGCATGGTTATTATTTGTTTGCTACTGTATTTACCGGAGAGAAATTACACAAAATTAATTCAACTCTAAATTTTATGAAGAAATTTTAAAATTTTTGTTAAATTTCATTTAACAAAAAACGTTAAACAAATCTAAAAATCACTTCGTTGACACATTTGACCTTTCTTTTTAATATCACCGAATATTTGCCTTGCAAAATATTCGGTAAACTTTAGTTACTTTCCGGATTTAATTAAAATGCCATTTGGGCTAATTTCACTATTACGAAACGTTAACTTTTTGAGGTCCAACAGTACATATTGGTGCGTTGGAGCTGTTGTAAGTACTGTCATTTTTTTTTTTAGAATCAATTGAATTCTAATGCTTTATGTTTAACATACGAAAAATGGTAAAAAGGAAATAAAGATTTATCTAACATGACAAATTTCATGTTTTCATTCGTTATAAAATGCCTACGTTTTTATAAAATGCCATAGTCAGTCGAGTTGTGATATTAGGGTACCGAAATTCGTGGTCAGCCTGGGTTTTGGTAGAATAAAACACAACAGACTATGGTGTATTAAATGCACAACGTTTCGTGCCTACCTAGAACATCTTAAAGTGAGATACGGGGTTTTGCCTGATTGATGAAGATTATGCCACGAAAAGGGTGACACGGGTAGGAGTAGCCTGTATAGCTGCTGGACACCTTTTTGATCAGAAGAGTGGCAGTGTTGATGGCTTCAAGGTGGTTGCTGTTAGTTTCAGGGACTCCTCCCTGAAACTAACATCAAAAACTACCCTAACTACCCTAAAAACTGGGGTAGTTTTTTCTAAGATCTTCTAAGGAAGATCTTAGAAGGGAAGATCTTCTAAGGTCGTTGGTTGCTTCACATTCCAGGAGATAGTGAAGTAGTGGTTATTTTCTGATTGTCAGAATATGCATTCCCACTGTCTGGGTTCACTAATTTCCCAGTTGCATCTGCAGGTTTTGCCTGTTGTTGTTTTAGATTCAGTTACTCGGAACGAAAGTTCAGAGTAACAGAATATTCGGAACGAAAGTTCAGAGTAAAAGAATATTCGGAACGAAAGTTCCGAGGATATGAATATAGGAAAGTTCATTGCCCGTGCTACGAATGTTCCGAATAGCACCGACTATGGTTATCCCGTAGTGGACTTACTCGGCACAGGAGTGGGGCTGTAACTATTTTTGCATGTTGTTGCTGTTTTAGATTTAGTTACTCAGACCGATGATGTAGATCGGTCACCCATGTCCATGTAGCACAGGCTATAGTGAGTCCGTAATTTAGTTAGGTTATTCGTGATAACCTTGTTACTGTGATATTTAGGTCAAAGTTTTAAATGGAGGAGTGGTTTCCTCCTTTTCTCCCTTTTACCTGTTGTTTTCGATTCAGCTACTCGGAACGAAAAGTTCCAAGTAGCACGGGCTACGGTGAGCCCGTAGTGGACTTACCTGGCACAGGAGCGGGGCAGTAACTGTATAAAAAAAATGCTGGCACAGGAACGGGGCTGTCCTTTTACCTGTATGGTAAGGGGAAGATATACGCGGCTGGAGGCGAGGTACATGTTAGGTGAGTAAGGCCGCGGAGCTCAGGTGCTAGTGAATGACGTCATCTTCCATTGGGTTGGGTCTAGGCCTGTGTTGGTAATGAGGCAAAATCGTCGTTTTGTATGTTTATATTAGGTGTTCCTTCGGTTATGATTGCTTCTAGAATTTGTAATCTATTGCTGTCATTTGTAGAATCAAGTACTTCCTTACCTTGCGATGATTTCGGGGCTCAATGTCCCCGCGGCCCGGTCCTCGACCAGGCCTCCTCGTTGCAGGACTGGTCAACCAGACTGTTGGACGCGGCTGCTCGCAGTCTGTCGTATGAATCACAGCCTTTATCTGGATCATGAATCACAGAATCACATACCTCCTGTGTGCTTCTCAAGCATTTTGTTAGTGAATTGTTTTCACGACCAATCATGAGTGCTACCTCATGATTGGTTGGCATATTGTTTTTTAGAGGTTCCTGCTTGTAGATGACAAGTCAACCTTATTGAAAACTTAGTAGTGGTCATGCTAATATAGGCTGATTAAAGGTTACATCCTTCATGGGGGCAAGTGTACTGGTATACCACGTTGGTTTTCTGGAGAGGGTTGCTTGTTCTGTTTGGGCTGTTCATTATTAACTCTGCTGTCTTTTTGGTCTTATAGTAAATTATGAGTTAAATTCTTTGGTACTGGTCAACATATCTCCTCTCTATATGATGTCCTTCGTAATGCGTTCATCTGTCTAGTACTGGGTCTTTATGATAGATTTATAACTTGAAGGGTGGTCTTCGCGTGTGGTTGGTTAGAGTTGTACCATTTATCTAGATACTTCCTAATGCAGGTGTTCATTTCTTCGTTAGTGTATTCAAAGTTTACTAGAGCTTGCAGACTTCTCTCCACTTCTTTGTGCAACGCATCGCAGTTTGTGCAGTGGGTGAGAGCTCTGCGTATGTATGAGTACATCACACTTGTCATATATTGGTAGGGGCTCTCGCCGAGGCCGTCCAGACACATTCCAGCTCCAGGTAACACGGGTGGTACGCGAACAAGGGGGGGGGGACAGATAGAAACGGAGTACCCACATGAGCCACAGGGACGTTAGAAAGAACTTGTTCAGTGTCAGAGTAGTAAACATGATGGAATGCATCGGGTAGTGATGTGGTGGAGGCTGACTCCATACACAGTTTCAAGTGAAGATATGATAAAGCCCAGTAGGCTCAGGAATCTGTACACCAGTTGATTGACAGTTGAGAGGCGGAACCAGAGTTAAAACCCCGCGAGTACGTACCCATGATTGTTGGTTTCGTGTAGACTTCATTGGTGAAGGTGGCGTCATTGGTCTTGACGTATAAGTGGAGGAAAGGGAGTGCACTGTCGATACCAAGTTCCTATGTGAATTGGAGTACGGAGGACTCTGTAAGTGATCGCTTAATCTTTTTTCAGCACTCGAAGGTCCTTGACACAAATGAAAATGTCATCAATATACGTCAATATATATGGGGTTTGCTCATAGTCCTGAAGATGTTCTCTTCCAGGGAGTCCATGTAGAAATTAGCGAACCAGGACACCTAATTCATTGTGTGTCGGGGGACAGGAAGCCAGAGTGTATTCATACACGTTTTGGCTTTTATCGAGTTATACCCCTAACTGTATTGGCGCATAACCCCCTAAGTGTATTGATGCACCTATCTGCTAACTGTGCTGATGCAACTATCCCCTGACTTTATTGGTTAATCTCTGCCCTAACTGTATTGATGCATTTTCTCAACATTATTGATGCATCTTTCATATAACAGTATTGAGAAGACATCTCCTAAACAGTGCTGTATTGATTCGATGCATTCCATGCATTCATGATACTGTACTCCCAGTAGTCATCATACATATTAACCAATCTGTTTTCATAGAGATGTATTAGCCCAAGGATACCTTTCTAATTACCCTCATGTGATCATCTCTCAATTTAGCTTTCATCATTTTATATTGTTATTAGGTATCCCTAATAACAATATTAGGGATACCTAATAGTAGTATAATATAAAGGATACCTAATAATATAAAGTAATTATGGATACTTTATACTATTTTCATGTTTGTTTATTTAATATTTTTGCTCATCTTAAGCTGATCAAGGTTTCCATTCAGTATATCAAATAATACCTCATTGTATTAACATGAAGCAATCAATACTTATGCTTGATAAAAAATTTGACTTTTTTTGCATTTTGAGCAGTGTAACCCCAGTGGTATTTTTTTTAGTTGGTACAGATGAGTCATAACCTTATTACCAAGTTATGCTGTCCCCTCAGCCACATCACCTGGCCAGGGCTTCTTCCACAACGTTACCATTACAACCATCCAACCCTTCTGACCCCATCCCCTAACACACTGTGCTCTTCCCCTTCCACTACCCCTCCCTTCAACCCACAGGAGGAGGAAGGGGCTATTGTATTTTAGCTCTAACCATATTTTCTTTGTTTCTCCTTGCAGCCATCAGACTCTTGGGTAACTGTTCACAACCTGAAACAACTGGATGGTGGGATTTTAGACCCAGACGACCGGCTCAATGATGTGGCAGACGACAGGGAACAGATTATTGCACTGTATGAAGAACAGGTGCACCACCACCACGGAGGGGATGGAACTTCGGCATCGTCAGACTCTGAGAATCCTTCCCCAGATATCTTTCAGGTACTGGTGCTATTATCTAGTTGTAGCTACAGAGAGCTCTACTTGTGGTTTCTCATGTTTCTTGCAACCTTCTCATGGTTTATTCCAAAGATTCACCACTACTTTGGTAAAACAAGTACCTATACTTTAGTCTTTTTTGTCTTTCCTAATGTACTGGTATTTGAAAACTGTGACCTCCAGTCCTGCATACTTCTGGTTTCAACTACAGTAGTTAAAAAAAATTGTATTTTAACAAACTTCTTTGGTTATCACATCCTTTTTTTTTGTTTTTATTATGTTCAGTGAAATATGTCATTAGTTCACATTTTTAAATTTTGGATTTTATGTAGTTTTGAACGGTCGGAAAACCTATGACACAATACCAACAAAAGATTAGTGCACAGGTTGGAGAAGAAGGCAGAAGTAACGAGTAATGTACTCCAGTAACTAAGGGAATAGCTGTTGTTGTTTAAGATTCGCTACTCAGAACGATAAGTTCCAGTAGCACGGGCTATGGTGAGCCCGTATTAGGGAATAGCTATGTAACAGAAGACAGTGTCACTATGATGGGGAGAGTTCATGCAGGAGAAATGTTACCAATGATGTCCCACTGGAGTTGGTGCAAAGATGATACAGCCACCTCCACAAAACACCACAGTCAACACAAACACAATTATTTCCACCATCACCACAACTACACCAACTACCAAAATCACTGTAAGCAATACAGCTGCAAACACACCAACAACAGCCATCAATACCACCACTAAAACTACCACAACCACAAAAAGTCCATAACCATGACTACAAACATCAAAGCCATAGATACCCCAAGCACCACTACAAATACAAAGACCCTCATGAGAAACACCACAACTACTACAAACAATTCCATGTCTTCACAGTAAAATAAGAAGTGCCTGAGCTGAGGGAAATGGAATCAAACTGAGCAGCACCAGAGGACCTTAAGATAACCAAAGATGAATAAGAAGGCTGGAGCTGGACAAGCAGCAGAGTGAAAAAGCTATGGTTGCATCAGAAGGGTCCAGTGAGAAGCACAGTCCGGGAGGTCCAGATTTTGGGAGAGGGGAGGACATGTACCATGCCAAGACGCTGGCCACACATGCAGCATTGACCAGGGAAACTCAACGCAGGCATCAAAGAGCTAAAAAAACAAAAACAAAAAAAAGTAGTAAAAAAAACACCGGTTGAAGAAAGCAATTGTACTGCATCTTCAGTATCTTTATGCACCAACCATTCAAAGATTGGAAAATGACCCAGGCCTGATGGAGAGACATAACCACAGAGCAAAAAATCTACTAACAAGAGAAGAGAAACTGCCCTGCCATAAACCAGCAGGAATATAGGGGGCACAAGTAAGAGTGAATACAACTACCATCAAATGTAGGAAACTTGGCTCCAGTTGCCACACTCTGGGAGAGCTTGAATATCTTTCCTATGGGAGGAAACCCTGACTTACACTTGTAGCAGATAGCAATTGACAAGCACTAATAACTTGGAATACCCCCCTGTGCTAAGACAATAATCTCAAGGAAAATACAAAGAAAACATACCTGAGTGCAGAAAGCAGCAAGGTGATGAGTGGATGCCAGGAATAAAAGTGAGGGTGGCCCACTTCGCTGACCCTGTTGGGGTGAGGGTAGTGTCATCTGGTGGCAGACAGTGTAGCTTTTTCTCTGCAAACAGTTGTTAAGGTGTCACTGTAATTATAAAATGGTATATTGTTGTTGCATCCCTTATTATTTTTAAACAGCATTATAATTCAAAGAAAAACTGTATTTAAAAAAATATTTAGGAGACACAGTACTGTATATGTGATCTTGTTCCTCAATCTCACCCAAAATGTTGTATATTATGGATTTGATAGCTGTACCTAGCTGTACTTAAAATTTTATCACATTTGTAAGCCAGTCACTTATTGTAGATAAAATTACTTAGTCTTTAAATCTTACACAGGACATTGAGCACAAATTCTCGCCCTTTACTCGGAATGACATTGAGATAACGGGCGAGGAATTAAGTGCCACCCCACCTCCACTCCATGTGCGACGAGGGAGTGAACCTGCCTTAAATCGTTTATCGCCCATCCCACCCGCCAGTGCCCCTCCCGACCCCACCAAACGGTGGTCAGCCGCACCCATTATAGAAGATCAGAACACACCACCAAGCTCCACACCTATGAAGAATATAGTAAGTAGCTTAATACCGGTACAGTAGAGTCACGTTCTTTCTTTCTTTCTTTCAGGTTTTGTACATCATAATGATGTAACAAGTGTGAGTTTGCCTTAATGTGTTTAAACATTATAAATGTAGACATATAAAAAATGACGGAAACTAAAATAACGTGTCCTCTGGGAGGTTGTCTCTCATCTCATCTCCAGAATTGTCAAACAGACCTTCCAGAAAAGACCTTTCTAGGGAAACCCCTTGATGGCTTGCTGAAACTATATCACTGAGATGGCTTTCCATACTCAGTCACATCAGTCAAAGGAGTCCTCGTTTACCTACCAGGGACCAGAGCCAGAAACTGGCACTGTCCCTCTCAGAGGCACAGAGAGCAGGGGGATTGTTATGACTTTCAGTGCTGGTTTATTTTTTTGCCTCAATTCTTTTACCATATAGTTTAGCTTCAGCATACAAAACCAGCACTTAGTTTTGTTTTGACTTGTGAATATGACTACCTGTATAATTAAATTTTTTGTGTTCAATATGAAAACGAAAATTACTTGGAAGAAGTTGTGGTTACCTTGGCAAATATAATATTGGAGTTTGCAGTAGTAAAAATCTATTTGGATTTTTAGGAATACTGTGCTGGCAAAAATATGAGTTTGTATGGCTTTTGTATTTTCTTGAAGTTGAATTAACAGAATTAGAATCAGAAACTTTATTTGTAACAACTCATACAAATCATTATTGTAATGGCTGGACTAAACAAATGTACAGCATTCTAAGTCAGACTCACATTTTTGGCAAAAAAGTGAGAAACATTAACATAGAATTTGAAAGGTGATTTATATTGGAAAAACGAAGTACTGTACGGTATAGTTTACCATTAGAGCAGTGAAAGTGATTGACACAGTTTATATCACAATACAGTATTAAGATGATCAAAAGATAATTTGAAAGGGTCCCAGTAGTACAGTCGGGTTCTTTCCCGAATCACAATCAGGAATTATGAGTTCAAATAACAGGTGGGACAGATATGGTTGGATGCATTTCCTATCATCTAATGCCCTTGTTTATGTAGCAGTAAATAGGTACCCAGGAATTAGTCAGCATTCTATTCATTATTAGTCATTCATTCATTCAGCATTTCATTAGTCAGCATGTTGTGGGGTTGCATCCTGGGGAGGGTGAGTAATTCGACCCTAGGGGGGGGGGGAACCTTGATATAAGCCTAACATGTTTATATATATACACACTAATTGCCAATTCCCCAACATAATAAATGATACACACAGAAAATCACAGAAACAATATATATATATCAGTGAAAATCAGTGGTGCAGTGGTAGAGTATGCGGCTGACAATGCCTTAGTTGCGGGTTCGCATCGCCTCACAGCCCCAGTGGATTTTCTCATAATGAATGATGTTATGAATTACTGAATTCTAAACTAATCATACTATAAAATTTTGAGAGAGGACATTACTCCACTTCAAAGTAAATTTGCATACCTGATTAGAAATATTGTACCATCTATAGATATCTAGCAATAACAGAACTTATTTTTTGCTACGTGGTTTCTAAAAACATTTGGTGTGTCAAAAGGTTTGGAAGCATCAATAAAAGAGAGAACAGAGCAACCCTGTGAGTTGTAGTACTGAATAGTTTCTGCGCCAAAACTTCAAAATGTCTTTCAGTAATTTTTAGTAATCAGTTTTGTATGCAAATTGAAAGTTAGAAGTTTTATCCCAGTTCAGATTTGTAACAAATATATTAATTTCTTACATTATATTTAATTACTGTGCCTTATATCTTTGTAAACCCCCTGGTGGCAGGTTTGGAAGTACCCCACCATTTGTAATTACAGTATTTTTCATTTTTTTATTTGGGGTTATGATAATTTTATAAAATAGTTTTGTGATATATATACTGTGTTACGGTATATGGGATACGTTCATCAGCTGTCTTTATGTATTCATGTGCAATACAGTACTTTACCTAATTTGAAAATAGGAATTCCTGATTACTGCATTATCAAAGTTATATTTGGTGTGTAGCTTTGAGTAATCTGCTGAAAATCTGTATAAACAAAGACTGGCACTGGTTTTCAGGATGGACACAGTTCTTATGAGGATGACAGTGTGTTTGTGGTAGACCCTGGGGAGAGAGGGGAGGGGTCGGGGGAGGAGAAGACCCCATCCTCCTCATCATCATCATCTCACCATTCAACTTCTACTGCCTTCACGCGATTTTCTCGTGACACTAATAGATGCTCTGTTCAGGTAAAGTCTTCCCTGATTAGCAAGAATGTTATTGATCAAGTATCTTGGATGTAACATTTTACCTAAGAAAATTTGGCTATACCTTTCAGCATAAAATTAGGGCTGGCTGTATATATTTAATCATTAACCCTTCCAGGAGTAGTAAAACTCCCTCACTCCCCCAGAGTTTTTTTTTAATATAAAAAATGGCTTAAATTTTTAAAGATAATTTTTATACTTGTAAAACACAACAAGTCTCATTTTGTGAGCTTGGCTGATTAACTGGTGCAAGGCCACCTATTACCCATGTGGAACCTGGTTAATTGCATAGAGCATGACACAATGCTGTAGCTAGAGTGCAGAATATTATTTTCTCAAATTACCATATTCCTAGTTGCTTACTACATTACTTAATCTTTATTGTATAGCTCATCAATTTTAGCACTCTCAAAGTTTAAATAATTTTCCTAAAGAATGTGTATGAAATTTGTGTTTTCTAAAATCTGGGAGCACAGCAATGTTCATTCATTCTAGCACATAATATTAAACCAACTAATGGCATAATATAACGAAGGTTTGTCAGTGATGCCAACCATGTGGTGATTTAATTCCCACTAAGTATTGCACCTTCAATTTCAACTGGACTAGAAATGTTCTCATTTCAGGCATTACCTACCTTCATGGCCATCTTAATCTATCGTAATATGTTTATACTGCACTTATACCTCTAAAAGGGTTACATGGGTCTTTGTGCCAAGTGGTAATGCTGAAACAAATTGGTTGTAGAATTCAAATACTACAAGGAACATGTCCCTTCAAGGAACATCTCAGTTTGGACCAATTGAATTTGAAAGAAGTCATTTTCATAGATAAGGGAGATCATTCATTAATTGTCTAAATCTTTTGAATGATTTAGAAGCTGACTTTTCAGCATCTGAAACTGAAGTTCTTGATATTTGTTATTCTGTAATCAGATTGAAAACTCACCTTGATGTTGGTTAGGTACAGTTTGTGCCCTTTGTTGTACTGTTGCTGTGTGCATAATAGCTTCAATAAAATGTAATGGGTAATTTTTTGTTAGAAAATGTTAGCCAGCTGAAAAAAAATCACAATTCAAGTACTGTATAAATGTTTTCCTTTTTTAAGTTGCATTTCATGGACAAAAGTAAAGTTATGGTGGTGGAGAAAGAATTAAATTGTGTGCAAAATAAATATGAAGGGGGGAATTGTTGAAAAAACTTTGTAAATGCCTGGGATGTGTGATTGGTAAAATTGGTATTTGAAAAATACAGTTTTACTGTAGAGTAAGTCAGGAAAGAGAAGTGACTAGTGCAATGGCTGCCATGGTAAAAAAATACAAGGTAGGAATAGATACAACTGGAAATCTGAATGAAGGACTGTTTGTTCCCACTCATAATGTGTGGCTGTGGTGAATATGTGTGAATATGTGGTATTCATGTGAAAAGTTAGTGGTACAGATGGAAAATCTGAAATGCATGTATGGTGTTTGAAGTATATAGAGTATAGAGTATGAATGGAATATATCATGGAGAGATATGAGGTGAAGAAGCTAGAAAACTACAAGAATGATGAGAACATACTGAGATGGTTTGGAAATTTTAAACAAAGAATTTGAAGGTAGGATAAGAGAGGGACTGCGAAGGTTGGTGAACATGGCAAGTTTGAGGAAGCGGGGAGTGATCCTGACAATGTGTGTGTGATATGAAAAGGGTGGAAATGGTGTACACGAAGTTACATTATAACTTATCCTTTATAATGTTTTTAGCATTATACTTGGCAGCAGTTCCTGCACTACACTTGAATGAGGCAGTGCACTAATGAGATGCACTCACCCAACTAGGTGAGTACACCTCATTAGTTCACTGCCTCATTGAAGTAACTTGTTCATACAGTAGTCACACCATTATTGTGACAGCATAGGTGGCTCCCCTCTGTCTTCTGGTTACTGTCTGTGTTTATATATTTTTAACATTTTAGTCATGATAATGATATTGGCTTTAAACACACAAAGATCACTTGTTAATAAAGATTACATATTGAGAACAGTAAATCCCAGTGCAACACCACTTCAGTACTGAACTAAACTAATTCAGTGTAATTACTAACCAAGAATATCACCTGCTTCAGCAGATGGTATTCTTGGATGATCTTGGTCCAGTGCTGAAGCAGAGGTTTAGGTAGAGAAGACTGTGCACTCCAGTGCTTGTATATGTATGTGTACTTGTATTTTTTTTTTTAATTTAGTAAGCTTCTTTTCCTTGATAATGTAGTACCTTAGCTCAAATTGATGAATAATGCTGAATTTAATTTTTGTATTCATAAAATTGCCATACTTGTGATATAAGATTGTACAACTTGTTTAATTTACTGAATTATAATAAAAAAGTACAGTAGGTAGCTTCATCTACAAATGTACGGTACAATATAATGGTAAAGGTTTACTTGCTAGTGTGTCTATTGATATTGTCAGCAATAAATGTAAATGTGTGCAAGGTCTTAGTAAAATGTGGATTTTTGTGTTTAGAATGTTTACTACTATCAGTGAATATTAGATAAGATGGTAAAGGTAGGTACATTGAAAATGAGTTACAAACATAATGTTGGATTTATAGATAGAGCATTTATATGGAAAGTGTAAGGGAACTTCCAGCATCATATTTTAGAAGCCTATTTAAATCTTCAAAACATTGTCATAAATAAGCTTTAACATTTGTATTAATATTGGCATTCAACATAAGAGGATGCATCTTTGTTTTATTATTCTTAATAATACAGTACTGCAATTAATTAGTAACACTTGTGTTAGTCAAACTACTCATCACTAATCACTAACCAGTAAAGATGTCTTATCATGGCTCTCATGAAATATTGTGTGGTTCACCCATTTAAATGAATACAATTATATTATGTAATATTACCAGCATGGGCAAGCCTACTTTTCAGTTCCTGTACTGAATTTTGATGTGCATCTTAAGTTCATATTGTACAGGATGGATTGGGATGTCACTTTCTATGTTTTAGCCCTCTTTCCAATGCACTTGCAGGGTAGGAAAGATGTTATTTCTTCTCAAATGTGCCTCAAAATCTTAACAAATTTATGTAGCTTCTCACTAAATTTTTTCCACTAGAAATGTAATGAAATCATAGAAATGTCCCGATCTTAAGGTCCAGTAATTCAATATTAAATGCAAAATTAAATAGGACAGTCTCTCACTTCTCATATAGGACTAGAGCATTTGCAGGCAGTAGACTGAACGGAGGAGTGATAGTGAATACAGTTTTGTATGAATTTTGAGATATCTGGTGTGGCATGATTGGAGGATAAATCTAGAATTAGAGCAATATAAATGGTTTATCTGATAAAGTATGTGTAGTGTTAGATTAATAGATAAAATAAGGACTGAAAATGTCATGGAAATATGTGATCTGTAATTTGCAGTACAGTATTGAGGAGAAATTACAAAGATGATTTGGTCATGTTAAACAAATAAATCATGATAGACTGGTTAAGAGTGAATTTGAGAGGAAAGTCGCAACGAATTTGGGTAGACATGGAAAACTGAGTGTAAGAAACTGGTAAGTTGCACAGTTGACTTATCCAAGTGTTATGTCAACCACAGTTACCATAAACAGTGTTTACATTAACTTTCTTTGTGAATTATTTAATCATTTAAATTTCATATGTACTGTATACATAACAATAAAAAGGTATGTAAATAAGGCAAAAATGTTTACTGTATCTTTGAAGGTACTGTCTGACAACCCCTCAATGGCACGGTGGGCAGATGCAGCAGATAAAGCCTTGGCTGCAAGTGAAGGAAGGAGACGAGAACCTCTCGGCGGGTCAGCCTCCTCACCATTACACTCCAGAGATCATTCTCACGATGATACAAATAATCCGTAAGCTAATTTATACAGTACTTAAGTTGTCACTGTTCATTTTTTTGCCACTTAAAATATCCAAAGTGTTCCTATACTGTAATTATGTTGACGTAATATTTTACGTTTTATAGAGTTTTTTATACATTTTATTTTATATAGTATTAAAAGTAATCATTTCACTTTTGAATATTCCAGCTTTTTGGTGGTGCTAAGTAATGACCGAGGTCCTCTAGGAATCCATGTGATTCCAAGCACAGATGGTAGAGGTCATGACCAAGGTCTTTTGGTGGAAGGTGTGGAGCCTGGTGGAAGAATAGCACGTGATGGTAGAATAGAAGTCCACGATAGAATTATAGAAATAAACGGAAAACCTTTAACTAATATAACATTCCAAAAGTAAGTTATCCATTTATATAAAGAATGTCTTTTAATTTGTAGATGTAGATTCTCCCTTTAATGCGTACCATGTAAAAATACTTTACAGCTTTTCCATTTGATGTTAAAGTACAGTATTTCATGACATACTTTTTTTCCAGTTCATATGTTTAATTCAGCTACTTGGCATTTTGATACTATATGCAGTACCTTAAGGATTATTTAAATGTTTCTCTTCCGTAGGGCTCAAGAAATATTTAAAGATGCCATGCTAACCCCAGAACTTCGCCTGCGAGTTTTAAAAAGACCAGACCTCCGTGACTGTAATCATCAGCACCAGGGATCTTTTACCTACTCTTCAAATGAGCTTGTTGAAGGGGAAGAGAGATGTAAGAAATGCATAATGAGTTTTGTTAATTGTCTTGGTGTGTAATAATTTTGTTCTCATGATTTTGTTGGAAAGCTCAGAATGGCATTAGAGCCAGTTATAATATTTAGAATTTTTGAGATTGTATTCTACTGTACTGTAATTGGTAATGTATTAACAGCAGGTTTCTGGTTGTAGCCATTTCAACTTGTATGTTATCTCTCATCATAAAATGCTTCTCCTAAATAGGGCAGGCTCAATTCAGGGAACTTAAATGTATATTATACTGTACTTATTTAAAAAAAAAACTACATCGAATTTCATTGCGAGATGATGAAGTATGAAATGGAAAATAGTTTGAGGAGTTGAAATGGACAGTGAGAGAAGTGGTGTTCACCTGGTCTTATGAAGCTGAGGGTTGCTGCTATAGATGACTGTTGGAATGTGGGGTTTGTGATGATACGTTGTATTGTGAGTGAGGTAATGAATAGACAAATGATATTTCTAATGGTTGTATTATGTAATATAAATACTGTAACATTCTTTTCTCATTTTACTTTCTCTTGGCTAATACCTCCCCACCCCATGAAAATGGGAAATAGGGAAATTAAAATATATGTACAATGTAATAGGGATGATATTAGAGTATTAAATGTTTACTGAAGGTGTTCAAAATTTGTAAACCAGTGTTTTGTATATACATTATGTATATATGTGTCTATTCTATTTATCTATATTTCTATCTATCTTCTTATTCCTTCTTTCCTTTTACATCTAAACCTAATATATTTGAAGTTTATTAAATTTCCTTGTGTTTAGTGTCATGTTACACTTGAGGCAGTACTGTATAATAAATGATATCTGAGTGTGGCTGATGACTGCTGACTTTACCATAGTGCAGCATTTATATGTATTTAGAAGCATTACAGTGGGCATTTTTATTTTTTTAAAGAGAGCATTGCATAGCTCTTACAAAGTAATGCTTCATATTAAGAATAAGTCATGAAAACTTTCCTTGTTAAGTTTAATTTTCTATAATGAAACTTTCCCTATTAAGACTACTCAATAGCTCGGTCGATAGAGCTTCGGCCTCACACACGTGGGATCCACGGTTCGAGTCTCCTTAGAGCCCAGGTGAATGGAATAGGTAATGAACACTGTGCAGGGTAATGAATGTGTGATGTTGATTTAGAAAAGAATAGAGATGAGAGGAAAAAGAGAATGGGGAGAGGAGTGAAGGAGAGGGAAATGGGGAAAGGAATGAATGATTGGCATTTTGTAATTTTAAGAATTCTGTATTGCATTATCTATGCCCTTAGATATGTTGGCAGAGGAAGCTAGAGATACTTTCCTTGATCACTCTCATGCAATGGACCCAAATCTAGTAAATTATTTGTTTCTTGTCAGTGGTTGGAGGGGCTAAAGTGGCAAGTGTTATGCCCACTAGAAAAGTTCCCTCAGCATCCCTATCATCCCGAACGCAAGCTGTTATTCTTCAAAGCAACACACGGAAACTAGGACGTAAAGTGACCGTGCATCTCACTAAAGGCCCACATGGTCTTGGGTTTTCCATAACTACAAGAGATAACCCAGCTGGGGGCGAAGCGCCAATTTATATTAAAAATATCCTTCCGAAGGTTAGTATTATAGTATTGTTTTATTTCTGCTCTGAGTACTGTGTGTGAAACTGTACCATGCTTTAACTGTGTTACAAATAATTAATTGCTACATGTACTGTACATGATTAATATTTTTATTTTATTATTTTATGGAATTACTGGGTAACTTTAGTGTATACATGTATTATACACAGTACATCACTTAATTGTTCTTTATTTAGGGAGCTGCCATTGAAGATGGCACCCTACGCATTGGTGATCGTCTGTTAGAAGTTAATGGTGTAGAAGTGACAGGCCGCAGTCAGTCAGAGGTGGCAGGTCTACTCCGACAAATTCCAATAGGTGGAGCAGCGACTCTTACAGTTTCTCGTCAAGATCAGCGAAATGGAGAAGTAGGCAGTGGAATAGTTGAATCAGTATCAGAAACTGATAAACCTCCCAGCCCTAAACTACCCAGACAATTGGTATGTAATTATTGTTTAGTAATTGTTATTATCAGAAATATAAATATTGCATTTAAAATTTTCAGGTTAAAAGCGTAGTTAGTTTTAAGTTTTAGTTGGGTCCATATTTATTTGATTTGTGTTATACACAAATGTGTGGGAAACAGTGTTCAGGGAACAAGATCATACTTATTTGATAAATTTATAAAAATGTATAATAACCATACATAGGTTAATGCCAAATAACTGCACTGTAAATAGCTAATTATATACCAAATTAGGGTTTGTTATGCATTTATATTCAACTAAGTTATACTTGAAGATTTTCTATTCAGGGGTCAAAGGGGAGCGTACGGCAAGATGTGTAGGGGGTGTGTGTGTGTGTGTGTATGTATGTATGTATGTAGTAGGTGTGGCCAATTACTTTCATGATTAATTTTATTTACTTATGCTAAAGGTTCAAAAATGAATGTGCTCTATGAAAATGTGTTTCATGAAGTGGCTCCAGGGCTCAGTGTTTCCTCAGCTATGTCTGTAGTTAATGGGATGATAGACCGGGCTGTTGGTCACCACATCTCTCAATGTGATGTTGGAATCTTGGCCTAGTTAATCACGACTTGGTACCTCAAAGGGTGTTCATTCATCTCTTTCCTGCATTATGTTATACACAGAAGAATGCAGCAATTCCTCTGGCATTTGGCATAGTTTTCAGTGATGGCCTTTGGTGCTTATGTTTTTTCTCACAAGGTTAAACAGTCAACTTTTTGTACATATTGTAATTGGTTTGCAGTGCCTTAGAAGTAACCCACAGTAATGGTTTCAATTTCCTGTCTACTACAAAAACACTTGACAAAAGAGAATGTAATGCCTTTTGAAAAGCTATATCTTATTACTACATACATGCATTCAAATTATGTTTTTCACTTTTTCCAACCAAAGTGTTTGGCTACTAGGAGTATGTTTCAATTTGGAATATTTCAGTCACATCTCATGTGGGTCTTCCCGTACATAAGTGTTTATATTTATGTATAGGAATATGTAGGTATAGTTGTATAGATAGAAATGTTTTGAATAAGTATCCCAGTATATATTTTTCTGAGATTTAAACTTGTAGTGCTTCTCTGTTTTTTCTTGTTTTTATTACTTTACAAATGCTTGCTCTGTTAGCTCCATTTTTATGGCTTCATACTTGACACATTATGTGTTTTTGCTCTTAATCTATTGCTTATATTTCTATTGTTTTATATTATCAATATTGTTTGATTTTGTCTTGACATTGTCTCTAGTTTACTGAATTTTGCAATAATATACATCAATTTAGAAAGTTTGCTTGTGATACTGAAATTTATTTACAAGGTATAAGCAATTGTGTTTGTGTGAGTATGCTAATATATGCTCTCACCAACTTATATCTATGATAATCAGGTTCCGGTTCATGTTGTGGCATCCTGACCCCTCCATATTTGCGTTTGAACATTGGTACAGAGTTTGTCTCCACTGCTTCTTTTCATACTGCATTTCATTCTCATATTGCATATAAATTTTTGTCCTTTATCTCTCTCTAAGTTAATAACGTTAACAGCTTCCATTTGTCTCGTTCTGATCTTATATCTATAAAAGAGACTATTTTTGCACCATTTTCATTTTTAATTTTTTTTTATTGGGACTCAATACTGGGCATTATTCTGTAGTATTGGCCTGGCTCAGGTGTGGTATACTATCCTGAACACCACCTGATCCAGGTTTCTGTAAGCTGCCCAAATGTCTGCTAGATTTGTATATACTACCAAAATTATTCTACCTGTATTTTCCTCTGGTGTAAGGTTGGTCGTTTCTCCTGGCATTGCATCCTCCCTCATTTTGTACTGAGCTTTGGGTCTCCTCTCACCTTCCCCAAACCTCGTTACCTTTCACTGGTTAAGGTTAAAATCAAACTGTCATCTTTTAGACCATGTTAGCATTCAGTTGGTGTCTTGCTTTATCCTACACACTACCTCAGTTCTGATTTTTCTCACATGTTTTTCATCATCTGGAAACATTGACATACATGACTCCATTTGTGGTGTTAGGTCATTTATATGTACTGTACTAAAACCAGCATTGGTCAAAGTACATAACTTGTTTTGGTAGTACCATATTGTCTACTTTATGCCAACTTAATTTCACTCAAATTGTTGAAATTGTTTTTGCTTGACTAGATATTCTTAGCTTAGTGCTCTTTTTGTTAAAACTTACCTGCTGCTTGTCAAGCTTATACAATACCTAATGTCTTGTACACTGCTGTGTCAAAGGCTTTCTGACAAGGAAAGTCGTCAAGGAAAATGCAGTCCAAGACAACTTTCTATTCTTGGCTGATTTTCATTATTTAGGCATTAAATTTGGCATTGTTAGATAACATTCCCTCACTAAAACAGTGAAAACTTGTACAGTATTGTCTACATAATGCAGCTTGATAGAAGTATCTTAGGAACTGTAGAAACTCGAGAGGTTCATGAAAATTTGCAATGTAAGTTTCCCTAATTAAATATATTACTTTGGTGGGCATTGCATAAAATGAAAATATGTTAATAGTTAACTTTAAGGTCAGAAAGGGTATAAGTAGAGCAGATTCTTTAGGTCTTGTTTATTAGCATTTTCATACTGTCGATCTTAACATGTTTAGCCCAGTGACTATTGTCATTATAGTCCAGTGAAACAAAGTTTTCAATGCATAGTAGTAATTAACTGACCTCCACAATTAGTAACGAGATTACAAGTTGTATTCTTGTTTTCTCAATTATGCAAGTGAATCTCATGTTGGCATGTAGTAATATTATTGTATAAAATTGTATGATGTTTATTAGAAAGGAGAAATTAATTTTCTACTTACAAAAGGAAATGGAATTAAAAAACTGGAGGGTATTTATCTAACTACTGTACATAGTTTCCAAAGTGATAAAGAAAGTTATTTGAAAATTTTGGGTGAGAAGATTCTATGGCAACTCTCATCAATCTGTGAATAAAGATTAATGTATAGATTAAGATGAAGATGAAAGATAAGATGAATGTAAACAAATAAGTGAAGAAAGAAGGTCCAGGGAGAAAGAGATTGAAAGTAGCAACACCTTGCTAACATCTTGCGATGATTTCTGGGCTCAACGTCCCCGCGGCCAGGTCGAGGAAGCCTGGACCAAATATCACCATACATCCTGAGTTATTAAAGTGGCAGAAACACTAAGTACTGCACCGATGTTATTACTGTTGCTAGTTGCCAGTAATGGGTGATTTGGGGTTCGGTTTCTGTTCTTTTCATTTTTCTTATAATATTTATAGAAAGAAGATTATCTTTTGTCATTTATAACGTGAACAATTCTATTTATCTTTACATAGTAAATATTTAACACTTTCGCCCGGGCATGACGCAGCATTGCGTCATCCGTTTACTGGCGGTAATACCGGGGATGACGCAGCATTGCGTCATCCACTTTAAATAATCGCCAAAAATCAGGTTTTTATCCGATTTTTTTGGGACTAGTTTTAAAATGCGCGCCGATGTCTTCCCATTTTCTTTGTTGAGCCTCGTGGCCCTCAGGCGGCTTGGCACACGTTGTGGGCCCATTGTTTTCGCTCCACTGTTGTGACCAATGTTGCCTCCCCTCGCATCTCAAAGGTGTGAACATTTCGGCTATTTTCCATGGCTATATTTCTTACTGCGGCTTTAGAAACTATCTACGCTTACTCCACGATGGATAGTGATCATGAACAAGGCCCTTCCAGGAAGAAAATTGTGACAGAAAGGCTTGAAAAGGGCGGGAATTGGGAGTGTAGCTGGAAGGCATCTGAGCGCTCACTTGCAGCTAATGCGTGGCCCGTCTTCAACTCGTCGGCGGTTGGAGCGTGACCAGGTTTTTTATTTTATATGCTAATGTTCCTATAGAGAATTCTATTGTGAACCCATTGAGACCAAAATGAAAGATCTAGGACGAAAATTGAGGTGACCAGAGTGAAAATAGTGAAAACATTTTATCGCGTTTGCGTGCTCCTGGGTAACTCGTTCGCACTTTCTCTGTTTACTGCGGGTAATTAGCCGGGCTTTTGGAGTTTATATGCATTTAGTGCTGTAGAGAATTCTATTGCGAACACAATGATACAAAATTTAATCTCGTAGGACGAGAATTAAGGTGACAAAGTTGAAGAGAGTATATACACTTTTCAGAATTTACACGCGCTCCCGTGACACCCTGGGTCCCATATCGCACAGTTGAGGGGTGGCGGGCGGGGCGCACGAAAGTGTTAATTTGCAAACATTTTATAAAAGTGAAAATGGCCAAGTAACTTGGTATCAGGCCAGAATTGCTCCCAAAAGTCATATAAGTATCGAACAGTCAATAAGCATACTGTAATTCCAAAAGGATTGCTCAGTTTTAGGTACCAGAAAATATAAATAAAATGGTACCTGCCTCTTTCACATTTCACAAATCTTTCTCTTTCACAAATACACATAAAGTATTTGTTTTTACTAACCCTCGAGATGTGCATATCATCGTAAGAAGGTCAACCCATGGTGCATATCACCCTTAATTAAGATGTTTTAGGTTCTTTGCAACATCTGCAATTCCTGTGTGCCATGCAGAGTTTCCAATTGGTATTTGAAACCTCCAATAAATTCCTGCCATATTAAAAAGCAACATAATTTTCTGAACATTTTTCTATGTTCGGGGCAAGGTTTTGAACAGTATAGGAAACCAATTTTGTTGTTGAGCATTGAGATGTATTGTGAAACACAATACATTTCTGTATTGTATTGTGAAACACAAAACATAGAGAACCTCTGTATTGTGAAATACAAGATTGAAAAAGCCGGTAATTTGCCAAAAGACTTACGCCAGAAATAAAGAAGCTCAACTATGAAGACAGGAAGAGAAAGCTTAATCTGACTGATAGAAAGAACACTAATAGAAGGACCATAAGAGATATGATCACAACATATAGGAGAGTGATGAAATAAATGAGGACAGAAAAGACTATATGGCATGGGAACATACGGGGAAACAAAGGTGGAAGCTGGAATCTCAAATCAGAGATGTAAGAAAAGTACAGTATTTATATCCAATGATAGTGGTAAACAAGTTGAACAAAAGGTCAAGCCTGGCCTTGGGAAGTAGAAGAACTTCCAGAACCCCATCAAGCAGGTTAAACTGTAAGCAAAGAGTGGACATCTTCCCCCTGATATGATGGAGTACTAGAAGATTGGAAGGAATAAATGCAGCAGGTTTTCAATAGCTAGATGGCAGTGCCCTATTACTAGATCTCATTTCTTGTAGGCAAAGATAGGTACATTCATGTATACATACATGTATATACTTATTGTATAACAATTCTTAAAACAAAATGTTAGCCTCGGATAGAAGTGAACACAGCCTGGCGTGGTAGAATACTACAGTTGCTTACAGTTGTCAACTGTAACATTTGCCTCTTTCACTGATTGTATCTGAAGTAACATCAAAATATTAATGTCTGTATTATAGATAAATTGTGACAATCAGTTTAGCCGTACTGTATTTAAAAAATATTCAAGTAAGAATTAATATGTTTATTACAAGTTCAAGATAAATTTGGAATGAGCATTCTTATTTTTGAATCTATATAATGATGGTATATATCAGTGGCTGAAAAATAACATTATATATAAAATAGCAAGCTTCCATATCTATTAAATTTCATCATTGACTTTCCTAAATATATTTCTAGTCATCAATTTATGTGAATGGCAAAAATTTAATATCCTCTTCCCATTGTGGAGAATACCATTGAAGTGAGTTATCTTCCCCAGTAGTAAAAAGCAGTAGGTGGGCTCATAATAGGGTAGCAGTTTGTGTTCTGATATACTTCATGCATGGTCTTTTGTGGTACTGTTTGACTACGGCAGGAAAATCATTCAAAATTTATTTAAATTGAACTTAAGCTTGTTCTATATGCTACACTTGATCAAAAGAAAATATAAAGTATAACAAATCTTTGTTAGCTTGTTATTACCATTAGGTACAGTACAATTAAATGTAGAAGTTGAAAGCAAAGGCTTTCCTCGACTATTGTGGTTTAATGGGGATGTGTCAGATATGATCCTAGGTTGCTGACAAGTTTTCTTACTTTATTGCAGTACTGACTGTGTGCTTATTTTTAAATGAATATTACAAATACTGAGAGTGACTGTCATGTAACTTGACTGTTATTAAACAACAAGGACTGGAACTGACTATGGACATTTTGTTATAGGTATCGATCTACCCACAAGACAACCACCCTTTCTTCTGCCAGGTATTTTGTGCTTTCTTGTATATTCAGGCACTGTTTATTAAATAAAAGACCTTAAATATATATACATTTAACAAGATAGACGTATTTCATGTATTGTCAGGAATTTCAGTAATGTGTTATAATTACTGTACAGTTTTGCTAAATCACTTGTTATATAGCATAATAATAATACAGTACCTAAAATATTTTGTCAGTATTGTGAATTCAGAATTTAAGGTTATAAGGACTTTGTTAATCTTATATTTTGTAAACATTGCCTGCAAAAGCATGTTTTTCAGTCTATTTATATTCGGGTATCCATTTCATTATACACATCTCTTTCAACAGTCAAGAGTTGAATGATATATGTAGCATCCCCATCAGACATATTGGTAACCATTCCAATTACCTCCACTTGAGTCATGCAATAAGCACAAGTTTTGTTGTAATGTTTACAGAACATTACATTTATGGTGGTGGTTTGGTTCTTGCATCATGAAACATTTGCCTTTTTTTTTAATGTGTTTGCAAAAAGAAAAGTTTATAATTTAAAGTAAAAGAAGGGGATGCCTGAAAAAATAGTCCAAAAGTATGAATAGAGACTAAAACACTGACTTTGTATAATGTTGAACTGAATATTTGGCACTCAGTCAAGGGTGCTGCAATAACAAGATTATTTGGGAAAAGTGTGATCATATTTTTATGGCTGCTGGTTTGCTTCAGAATTTAAAAAATAAGCATGCTTAATAATTTTTAAGTTTATTTTATTCTTAATTTGCTTATTGCATGATGGGCATTCACAATTAGGAAATGAACATAGTTGCTTTTCTCTTTTAATTAAACAAATTAATTATAGCAGCTGATATACTGGGTATTGTATAACTTTAGAAATGTACACAAGATAGATTAGAATTTGTAGGATCTTGTTACCGTACTTTAGTAGTAATTTATGTGCACGTTTCTGTCTTCTAATAGCCTGCGGAGAAAACAGCAGAAGATAGTCTGATGTTTCCTTGGAAGCAAAGAGAGATACTTATGTTTGAAATTCCAGTTCATGATTCAGAAAGAGCGGGCTTGGGTGAGTACATAATTAGCCTTTTCAGGAAACTTGGATTCATTACTGTGTAGAATTTCAGTAAGTCACTGTAAGTAGTATACTTGATGATAACATTTAAATTTTTTGTCTTTTGTGGATTTTCATTATTAGCAAATTTGTTGAAATAGATAAATTGATATATAGTTATGTATGATAGTCATAAGTCTATTTTTAAAAGACAGCACTTGCTTTGACTCTGGCAATTTGTAATTTGCAAAAGTTTATAATTCATTGTTAATTTTATTGATTATTTTTATATCAGGGGTAAGTGTGAAGGGTAAGACAAGTTCAGGCCCCAATGGCTCTGTTGACTTAGGAATCTTTGTAAAAAATGTCATTCATGGTGGGGCAGCCTCTCGAGATGGTCGACTCCTCCAGAACGACCAGCTCGTCAACATTAATGGATTGTCCCTTCTTGGAAAACCTAACAGTGAAGCCATGAAAACTTTAAGAACAGCAATGCATCAAGAGGTTTGTTACTTAGTTAATTTAAAGAATATTTATATTGCCATTTTTTTCTTTAGGTTAAAAGTAATAACTAATGTGTAGCTGCATTGTTTTGCAAATGATATACAGGTACTCCTTAATATTTTGAATATTTACTTAGATATGCTTGTATTGTAAATTAAAAATTCTGTGTTTTCCCAGGGTCCAACCCCAGGAATGATATCACTTACTGTAGCAAGAAGGACAGATCACAACAGAGAGCGGTCAAGTCCTTCTTCAGCTAACCGGTCAGGTCGGGAGTCAGCCAGCAGCTTGCTTACAAACTCATCAGGTACAGAGACATTAGGTGGAGCCAAGTCTTCACCTGCTACGCCAACACCAGATCATGCGTGCATTACTGATTCTTCAAATGCAACAGTTATACTAAATAGCAAGGTAAGCTCACTTTTTCTACAGATTAATATTTCACTGGCAGTGAGTGTATCTGACCAGTTACACTGGTATCTGACCAGATGTGGAGTCTCATCACTGTTCTGACTTTTTCCAAAACAACTATGCAGCAGGAATAATATACGTAGCTGCAAATATGAAGTAATTACACTGAATAATTTTTAATGTGGGATATTACATCAACATTTTCTGTACTGGCTGTGGCCCCTTCACCTGTGGTTGATACATTCAGTATCACAGTGAGAACATTTGTGACGGTTTGGATGGTACTGTGGTGCTGTTACGGCTCGTTTTCCCAGGGGGGGGGGGTCCCTTAGTCACTTTATTGGCCTATTCCCCCCACTCCAGCATATGCTGAAGAATTTCACTGATTTACTTGACTGAATTATGAATTAAGATCATCGCTGAAAAAAACAGTATAATTAACAACATGCAAGAAAGAGTAATAAAATTATCATATTAATAATAATGGTGCAGATACAGTATATTAATTAGTCCAGCTTATGCAGGACATGGCGAGAATGCATCACCAAATTATTACCCAGATAAGATTAAATAAATTAGGCAACCGGCCAACTCTTTGGCAACAACAAATATAGTAATACTGTACTGTATTCTGTCAAGCTTAAATATCAAGAAATAATCCACCTTGGTCTTAGCACTCATAAATCCTACAAATTTCACTGAAAATATGTATCGCTGCCAGATAATTATGAATAGATAAATTAAACACCACCCAACCAGATACAAAACCAAGAATAAAAACTTGTAGTAGAGCCCAAGCCAGAACACCCACTCCACTCCAGTGTCCACACCCAACTGCAGTGTTGGGTGCAGCATACACACATGATATGTGTATACAAGATACATACTCATACCATAAGATGCCATGCTGTGCTCCCTGCATTGGACATTGCCATGTTTGGGCTTTCACAATTTGATTTAACAAAATACAATACCAGTACTGTATACTATGTATGACCCTTGAATATTACATATAAAAGGTTACATAGTTTGTATCAAGCACTATTTCCCAGTAAGCAATAAACCTCAATTTTATAAAGAAACAAAATCAGGGAGATGCAAATGGCAACATACTTCAAGCTAGTAATTGGACCTGTAAATCATGCATCCTTCCCCTAACTCCAAGAGGAGGAAACAGATACAAGACATTGCTACATTAAAATATTTTGTAGGCAAACTTGATAATGTAAATTTACTTTTATCGAAAACAACATTCAGTTAGAAAGGACATGCTATATTATCAAATATACGCTACCTGCTGAATACCAAATTACAAGACCATGCAACATCATTTAATAGTACATATTAACCACTGTTTTTACCATAAATGCAGTATGCAAATAAATTATCATTCACCTGCATCTAGCAATGACAGCAAATCATTCACCTGCATCTAGCAATGACAACATATCATTCCACTTCTCTATTGCGAAACAAATCAACATACCTGCCTACAAAACTTCTATTTACCTCAGAGGCTTCAAAATTCACATGTACAATTCAAACTAACATTATCAACATTATCTTACTCAAGGTACATTATGCATTGTAATGTAATTAAAGTTATAAAGACTGGATCACCTCATTCACAACAGATGCATCCCTTATCTGTGGGTTTTTGCTTTCCGGCTCCATTCTGATTGCACGTCAGTGATCCACTACCTCAACAAAGAGTGCTCAGTTCTCTTACCTTCCATGCAATGGTTGACTCTCAGGATTGCATTGTTTGTCATTCCATGGTTTAGTCCTCATGGAGGGCCTTTCCTGTTCTGTATGATTTTGAAAGCATCGGAGGTGAATATGACCTCTCTTCATTTGATTTGTGATATATTTGGTGTGGATCTCTTCGCCTCTGCATTGAACCATCAGTTAGCTTTTTCATGTGGCTCCCTTTCTCAATCAACAGGGACTTATGGTGGATGCTTTTCTTCCCTGTCAAAGTAACCTCTAATGCTGTTATACCTACCATTATCCCTGTGTTGGGTTTTCTTGCTGCTTGGCAAAAGCAGTATTATTCTGTGGAAGCAAGAAAATCTGTTAGCACACTACACTAAATGAAAGGGCTTTCTCCACAATTAAATGAAATGAAAACTAATTATTTAATATTAAAACGAGGACTAAACACTGTGAAGTGACAAAATATTTTTGTTATAGAATTGCTCATAAGAAATGGTTATGCATAGGTATTAGGTTACTAGCAGACACTTGGCTAGGAGTTATTTGATACCATATAAATGTGAAGCCATGTCATGCTAACAGATTTAAATGTAATGCTCAAAATATATTTGTTCTATTTTCTCAAGATTAGTGTATATCTATACTTTTTTCAGTATGATGATTGGCATGAAGCTGATGTGGAATTCACTAATATGGGCACTTTTGACATAAGGAATCCTGTCATCCAGAGATTAACCACCAACAATGGAGCACTTCGCAATGAAAGTTATTATAAGGTAATAATATTTTTAAGGTAATGGGTGGATGTTAGATTATGTCTTTGTATATACCTGTACAGGTATTATATTCCTATACATATTGATTGTCACCAAATATGGTACTGTATATTGTATTAACAGTTTCAAGTGAATAAAGCCATTTTCCTAATTATAGATATACAATATAATAAATATTCTACACTGAACTATTACTTCAACACCAGTAGAAAAAATAAAAATATCAAAATTAAATTGCAGTTAATCATGCTAGCAATAGTAATGTATTAAATATTTCACTAAGTCGCATTCTAGGTGTTGAGATACCAGTATATCTGTAAAGTGAATATGAAAACCAACTAGTTTTTTCAGGGCTAATACAAACCATAAGGTTAGGTTTAGCTATGTTAATTAGGTTTCAATAATTTCTGATGCAATTTGCAACCAAGCCCGGGCAGCACACCTCTTTTCATCTTTAATAAATGTGTTAGGTTATATATATTAAATAGCATGCCATGAACTTATAAATATGTGATAATTTAATCAACTTATTAAAGTATAGTAGGCCCTATATTTAAGTTAAGTCTGTCCCGTATATAAAAACTGTCCCACAAAGATTACTTAAGATCAATCACATGCATATACTGTTAAATTACTGTAAAGTATATTAAATAATGCAAACTGTCCTGCATAATTACAATTATCATTACTGGCATTTCATTTCCTTTGATTATATATTCACTAATTGTTAAGGTGCAAGTAAGTTTTTGAACTTAAAGTAATATTTTTGCTTAGATATAAACAAGAGGTCATATGCTTTGTCATAAGCTTGCAATAATGCATATGTAAGATTTAATAATGAAATGAATGATTGGCTTTATATCATTGTGCTAATTGAGGGATGTACGATGTCAAGCTAAAACCTGGGGTCATGAGGGAGGTCAGCATATGGTAAGAATATAGGGCTGTGAATCTAGTCTATTGTATGATATGAGTTATAAGGAGTTAAGGCTGTTACGTGAATTTGACCGTACGAGAAGATAATGGATAGATAGGTCGAATAAGTGTGTGAGAAAGAGATTACTGAGTATGAACAAGTCATAATAATGCACAAGAAATGGTAAGGTGCTGAGGTAAGTGATGGTAATTTCTGAGGAGGTACAGGGTGTTTCATGTGATTGTATGCAACAACTTTTATGGAACAGTTTTCCACTAGTTTTATCAAGTATTGTGTATTTTTTGGATTTTCTAGTGTGGTATGGTTTCTCTGTGGTGCTGTATAATATCTTGTGGAATGGTGAATTTGATGTCTTTATTTTTATATCTTAACCCAATTTTTCCTATACTGCTCCTTAATCTTTGGGTTGATGTCTTCCTAACCCATTCAGGTTGGAAAATGGTTGTCCTGACGATGGTGAGGGAAAATGGTTACCTTTTAAGTATTGATACAATTTTCTCATTTTAGGCAACACATGACACTTGGAATACATCACAGTTACAGCAATTGGTAATGCGCAGCGAGCGTGAAACAATACCAACCGGAGTTCCTGGTATGAATCCTCTTGGATCCCCAACTGTTAACCTGCCATCTAGGGATACTCTAATCATTCACGATGATGCCGGCACTCACCTTTCAAGGTAAGTGCACTTAATATTGCACTGATAATGGATTTCATTAGACCAAAAATTTTATCCTAGCTATTTTTGGGTTACAAAGGTTTTGTTGAATAATGTATACGTCAATGTTGATGTTATTGCTGTTATCATCAGTCATCAATAATTATCTTATCTTTTCCACTTTTCTTCCTCTATTCTTCACCCCTCCTGCTCCTCCTTTCTGCTGCCTCCACTTCCTTCCTGCTTCCATCACTCCCTCCATTCTCACCTAACAGTGACTGCAGGAAAGGGAAGTTTAGCTCTTTATGCGCTACCTACTAGCGAATAGCCTTCTTGTACTTGTGTTTTATTCTAAATTTTTTGACTTTTCAAGTGCTTTGTTGTATCTGGACTTGAAAGTTGGGGATAGGGGTTGCTTTCATGACGTCTCATTTCAATCCATGCCACTTGTTAACCATCTGTACAGGGTCCGAGTATTTTTGTGTATTTCTTTGACGCATTTCCAATTTATAACTGTCTTTTTGTTGTCCTTTCTAAAGAAAATATAGACATAAAATAATGTTTTAAGATATAATGGGTGTGAGGGTCATTGCATAAGTTATTGACAGCCTGCCTTTCATTGTTGGGTGAATATATTATAAGTTCTGTATTGGGTTTTTCTGTGTTTTATGAGAGTCTGTCATAGTAGTAGCAGCCAGATATAATTGTATGCTTATTTTTTGTCTTTTTTATCTTCTGTTGCTATATTACCTTTTTATTTTTTCAGACAACTTGGTGGGTCAGATGGTCCTGGAGCCTCCACAGGAAGTTACAGTGACCATCCAAGTCAGTCAGATGATGCCTATACCAGCCAGTAAGTTGGATTACTATTTTTTTTTAATTTAGCATTCCTGTTAAGGATACCCTATAGATTAAACCTAATATTTTTTCCCATTTTGTATTTTTAGTAGTTTCTCATTTGTGTTTTGTAATGCTTTATTGCATAAATTTCAAACAAAATATTTTAATTATACAGTACTGTAATTGTAAAAAAAAAAGTATTAAATGTAATGAGATGCCTCTTTCTGGTAGAGCCCCTTAGTATCTCACTAAGTGCGTTCTTGAAGTGGGTAGGATGTAATTATGTGTTAGTTGGTTAACCCTGACCCAACGCAAATACAGGATCCAATGATATTACCTCAAGAACATAAGCTATCTTTGTTGATACATTTAATACCCAATTAATACCCCTTATGTTATGCCATTCATCCACTCTTTTTACCACCTCATTCAAAGAGAATATAATCTGGTGCTAAACATGGTAAACTTGTCTTTGAAAATGTAAGGAGTACCTTGCAAAATGCATCCCTAGGCATCAGACCATAATAAAGTGTGAAAATTAACTTCAGACCCATTTCTTTTTTTAATGCCATGCAGATATTTAACATTGTATTTTATTCGGTGTCATATGTGAATGTGATTAACTTAAAGTTTCATCTTGGTAGATCTCCTTCAGTGGTTTTAAGAATTGTATCTACTATATATGTAGATAATTGTAATTGCATTCTAAAGAACATTTCACAAGTGTTCTACTTAAGATGTGCCATTTTAGGTGATCCAGGATACTTTCTTTAATTGCTCTGTTGTGATTGGATGATAACTTTTTAATATAATGAAATATAACTGCTATTTTACAGAACGTCCCTAGAAGAGAATGTGGCAGGGTTCTCCCGGGATCAGTTTGGTAGGCAAAGTATGTCAGAAAAGCGCCATGCTACATTGGATGCCAAAAATACTGACACATACCAGCGAAATAAAAAAGCAAGGTAACCATTTTCCCAAATTTAATTTTGAGTAGTTACCTATTCATATGTATAGAAAGTGCTATTGTTGTGGTGTCCCATCTTGTTTAATGACTAAATATTTTGAAGCTTTCAAGTGGTTTTGGTTTGGTCTGTATTTTCTTTTGAAGCCTAGTGCATCTATCTACCATTCTATGTGTAGAGAGGTACAGCCTCTAGTCACTTCAACATCTCTGCTTCAGTAACTTGAAATTGTGACTTCGTGTTTTATCTAATACCAGTTAATGGGTTAAGGCAAAAATGCACGATACCTTCAAATTCAAATTCTAGTTTGTCATTTCAGCCTTGATCTAGATTTCAGGATAGTTTTCATTTTTTTATTTTTTATTTTTTTTTTGGTGGGGGGGGGAGGAGTTAGGGTTAGCTCACCACTCTATTTGGCTAACAGCAGCACAGGACAGTACTTGCAAATTACATTGTTAAACTAATTTCAATTTGAGCCTTTAAAGATTGTTCTCTCAACTTTTGCTATGAGAACTGTCTTCCCTGGCTAGTTTGTTACTTAGAACTGGAACAAGTGTCAACACTAGACTCGTTATCTAGCATCCTACCCCTCTCATACATGATCACTTTCTATATCAGTATGGCTTGGGGTTTTTTTGTCCATGTTCTGATACCTATCTATGTTTTTCTGGTATCAGGTCTAACCAGACTGGTCTTTCTGACAGACCTCTTCTTTTCATAAATAATAAAGTATCAAATTTTTTTTTTAAATTCCTTGTGACAGAGTTAACACTGTAAGCACTGAAGAAAGTATTTCAATGTCTGGTGATGTCCAGTGTTGGTGGCACTGGGCTACCTACAAAACGGTCACTTATATTAGCTACATTGTCATATTACTATACAGTGTAAGATCAGTAAAATATTAAGAACAAATAAAAAAATTCAGTATTGTATTACTAAAAGCACAGGAATGATAAGTGGTGAAAAAATAAGGTAAGCTGGAAATTACTTCAGTCCTTGTCTTGTATAGTGTCACTCAAGATTTCACAGGAGCTTTTCAAAATCTGATACTATAATCTGATATAAGTTTGTTTAGTTGTATGGCAGTTTTCATTTTAAAGATATCCAAATTTTGAAGGCTTCTCTGTACTGTACTGTGATACAATATACCTGTACAATCATTTATCTATAAGAGAGGGTGTCTGTGTCTGTTTTTGTTAGCCTCACCCAACTTTGTTGGGAGAGTGGCCTAGGGTATGAGATGGACACCGGCTGGTCGGGGTCAGTCCCATTGGTCCTATTAAGAGGTGGAATAAGGCCCAGTAGTGACAAACCCACCCCCGTTTCCCTCCCCCACAAAATTGGTGAAATGTGGCTGGTTGAGTCCCTAGACTTCACGACTTTCTAGATACATACTGTACTGTACTGTATATTCTGTAAGTGGAAATATCTGTGTTCGAGGTTAGAGGCCATATGGGAAAGACGGAGAAATGGGGGAGGATATGGAGGTTGGATGAGTGGGGTGAAGAAGAAAAATGTGGGAGATGGAAGGGAAGATGGGGAGAAAGGAGAGAATAGAGGGGAATGGGTTGGTGGAGGGGGGGGGGGAGACACAGACTATCCCAGGCACCACTGGGTACCCTATTTATAGTATAGTGGCGCCTCGATTAACAAATTTAATCCGTTCTGGCACCGAGCAGAAAACTCGTGGAAAACTCGTCTTGCGAAACAACAACAAAACTGTAGTCGGTAGTGTCTGAGAACCAGCGGGAACGCTCGTTAATCGAGCGAAAGCTTGTCAGTCGAGACAAATTTTCTGCGAGTGGCTTGCTCGTTACTCGAAATGCTCGTAACTGGAACTGCTCGTCACTCGAGGTTCTACTGTACTGTACTCTATAAACAAGGTGACATTAGGCTCCAAATGTCCTGTGTTAGGGGTTAGTGTAATTTCTTTACAAGTAGCTTACATATATTTTTTGGGGCTTGCCAGTGGTGAATATTTTCTGAACACTTACATTAATATATTTTTTTGTTATATTTTGACAGAGAAGAGAGAGAGAAACAGAAGCAGTTAATGCTAGCCCAGGAGATACTCACTACAGGCCAAGGACTTGGAGGAAGTGCAGCAGAAGGTACGTGGCATTAAATGTCTTCCCTTGTTCTAGTAGACATGTTGAAGGTTTACCCGGATCCTGTAATGTTAGTGCGTAAGAGTTCACTCAGTTTCTTTTTTAACCCTCATTCTTATTTTACGGTTTCTGTTTCTGATTTCTCTTTAATACAAATTGTATTAAATTATTTGGAGTATATGAAGTTTTTATTACTCCTAATTTTTTTGTTTTTAAGTTTTGCCTTGCATTAGTACTTTGAGTAGTTTCTTAAACCATATGGTACAGGCGTTAAAAAAGTAGTTACTGCTTTATTGTGTTGTGATTTTGGTTTGATTATTATATTCTATATGAGCTTATAATGGTGCAGTATGTAGCTCCAGTTTCCATTATATTGTTCAGAACCAATTGGGAATTGATTTTGTTATTCAGTTTTAGGGATTTGTATTGTTCATGTTTCAGATTGGACACAGACATTTATTTAAATATTTGGATGGTACTTTTTTATATGGTTCTGAATAATAGTAAAAATGGAGTTGCTACTACAAGTTATTTTATGGTATTATAAACTAATTTAGACCCTTATTAACTATAGTTACAGTGTTGACTCAGTCAGCAATGCAGATGGTTTAAAATATATTGGCTTATCTGTTTCAAGTGGTTAATTTTAATGAGTATATCGTCTATCTGTAACAAACTTACCATGGCTAATATTCATATTTTTCCTCTTTGGGTGTTTTTGTCTCTTGAGAATACCAACTGTGCTAAAATGAGTAGCATTGTTTATAAAAATCTCATGCATCTATATTTATTTGAAACTGATTTGTAGTGTAGAATGTCTTCATATAAAAAAATGATCATATCAAGTAAATACCATACTATTTTATTTAAATGATGGTGCTTGATTATCTGAAAGAATTTTACTCATTAGAGCTCAGTTGGTAATGCTAAAGGTTAATATACATGATACAGTTTGTAACTAAAGCATTATGTCTTAACATCTTGTATTGTGTATACTGGGCCATGCCTTCTAAGTGCCCAGTACACAAAATATAAAATAATTTAAGGCTGATATTCCAAGATCTATGACAGTCACAACTGTATCATTTGTACTGGTCATAACTTTGGTGTGGTCTGCCCTCAAGGTGGAGCTCTGGAGGAAGTGAGACCTGGGTCAAGGGAAGTTGGCATTGATGTGCCTCCCAATGACCCCCCTCCTGTGGTGCCTCAACAGTCTCATCCCACAAAGAAAACTAAAATAAAAAGTGACTCTGAATCTAAGAGTTGTATGACAACTTCTGAGCAGGCTAGTTCAGCCATATGTGGTGTTAACTTGTCGTCAGTTGTCCAGCACAAATCTAATAAAACAGTTAACTCTGAAGTTGGTGCTAAGCCTCAGTTCAAGCAGCAAATGTTGCAAAACACAAGAGCATCAAGTAGACGGGCTTCTGACACATTGGCCAGCTACCTGGGGAGAGGCACACCAAAGGTGCAGGGGTCTGGGTATCCTCGTGGCCCTTTCAGTGCAGTTACTCGCAGTTTAGAGAGGCATTGCAATAGAGGGAACCAGCGAACCACTTTTGGCCAGGATCTTTCCAACATGATATCAAACTGGGGTAACTAACAACTGAGTAATATGGTGCATGGTGTTGCTGTTATCTCACTTAATAACACTAATTTTTGGGTTGCTTCATATGCTAGATTCAAATATTTAAACATTAATGTAATAATCTTTAGTTGTATGCAATGTTTGGGCTTTTGCTGTGTTGTTGGGATGCATGTTGCCGCATGATATTATATATTTTTTGTTTTATTGCAAAATGTGTAAACCATTTTACCAATGCATGATGTAACTAATTACCTTTGATGATTGTTATATCTTTCGGTGTATTAGGTTACATAAATACAAATTATGGCACATTAATAACTTTATTTTGTTATTATTTTCACAATATAACAAGAGTAGCAGATGTAAATACATTCAGTTTGAAATTTCATTGCACTAATGTTCTATCATAAAATAATTTTTTTCTTAATTACATCAAGCATGAATTACAAAACAGCGATCATATGTCTGTTTCTTCCTACATATTTCAAGACCTCATAATGTTGATATTCTGTCAGTAAATTAACTCTCTGAATGATAACATGGAGATACAGTAATTAAATTAAGTTGTTTGCTTGAATCGACTCTACTTTTCTTAAAATACAGATAAACTTAATTGATGTCATGCCTTGTACATATTCAGTATATATACATTAAACAATTGATATTATGATCAATAAAAGCTGTAGTGTCTCATTAACATCTTTGCTTGTACTTCCAGTGTATTCTTAAGAATACAACAAAACTGTTCTAACTAAACTATCCAATTTTTAATGATTAATTCACAATTTAAAAATTACTCGATTGTTTGTCCGTGTAGCTGCCCGTAACCGAGAATTGTTGAGTCGCGAACCTGGAATGGGGAAGCTGGTTCGTGCCTCGTCTGATGAATCGCTAGCCTCTCAAACTCTCCAGCGCACCAATCACGCACATCAACCTTCTTCGCATGAGCACATTTCATCACAGGGTAAATGTTGGGAACTGGTGCTACCTGGCAGGGGGTCTTCTGGCTCTGTTGATTATGGATATGTTGGCACAACTCTAATGGTTTCCTGAAAATCTTCATTAAAACTCCCAAGAGTATTCTCCTTAATTTAATAGCAAAATGGGGAATTTGAAAGCCTTATTTAAATAATCAATTCGTGCTACATACAGATTATTTTAAGGTTGATGTGATTATTTATATTTAGGATAATGAGATTATAATATTTAAAGTGTTTTCAAAGTAAGAAACTGAGGATTTTATGAGGAAAGTTTTAGTAAATATTCAGATCTTAGGAAATTTCCTTAAGTGTATCACAATTTAAATAGAAATATATTACTATAATGTTTACAGTGGAACCCTGCTTATCCAAAACCTATTGATGCAGCTGAGCACTTACATTGAATGAATTCCAGACCAGTTAAAACACTGATTGAACAATGCAGGCAGTGTTTTGGGTTTAAGGACTGCAATAACGTTATCCCCAGCCATTGTACTTACTTGATGTAAAAATGAAGTGAAAGAGAATCAAAAATAAGCAAGACAAGGGTGCATAGGTAAGAATCATGCTCCAAGTGGGGAATTATCTGTTAGGCAACAGAAAAAACTAGAATCGGTGTCATGTGTCGTTAGAGGTTACCACAACATGGAGGCCAGACGAACATTAATCCTGAACACCGGCAAGAGGTGTTCAGGATTATAAAATAAAAGATAAATCACAAGGCATTAAACTACAGGGACACATGAAGCACTTTCTACTCTGACTCACTTGGTAGTAAGATAAATGTTTAGCTAAAATAGCTGATGTACCTGGTGCAAAACTGGAGGAGTATTCTAAAAGAAATAAGATGAAATGATATGAAGGAAGATAGATAATGAAGGGAGTGATACTAAGGAATTTTGGAAGCAGAGAATATTAGAGAAAGATCAGCAACACATTAAGAACTGGTAATACTCAACATGAATAATTGCAAATCCCACAAAGCGTTTGGAGTGCAAAGAGGTCTGGCCCAAATAGTTTGGATAAGCAGGATTTCATTTGTATTGAAGGTTATTACAGTTTATTTGAATTATAAAATGTAAGTTCCCTATTGAAAAGTTGAATTGTGTTAGTAATTCATGAGAATGTTCATTTAATGTATTTTGTATTGCTAAAACAAATTCTTTATTACCACATCATAAGCTGGGAATTTGTGGTACATAGAAAATCTGAATATCCACTGGAACATTTTCTTCATGACATGATTTCATCAAATTAAATATCTTGACATTAAATTGAGGAATTTCTATACCTCGTGCAGAATGCTTTCATCCTTTATTCTTATCAAAACTTCCTTCCTCCTGTCATGCTTAAGGAGAACAGCCTTTTTTGTAAACTTTATTAACGGACTAGGCCCAGCCCTTATAAAGGTTTGAGCCCCCTGGTTGTCTCACTGGTCTTCATAGTGTCTGGATAGTGTTTTGCACTGTCATAGCAAACATTCAGCTACAGATCTTTGGTGACCGTACTTGTTATCTTGGCATAAAGCTCCACCAGTTTCAGGCCAAGATATTAATGTTTTTTTAGTCTTTGCCAAAAACTGTTAAAGGCATGTACATGATATCTTATTTACTGGAGGTAAATTTGAAGAAGTATTGCAATCATAAAAGTAAAATAAGGTAAATAAGGTAATTTTTCATGGATACTAATTCTTAGTTTTAAATTACAGTATGTAATAGAAATTTCAGAACAAAGGAAGAAAGATATACATTAAATTTAATGTGAAAGTGTTTAATAAACAAACATTAATAAACAATGTTTGTTTATTACTGTTAAAAACTTTTGGTATTATTTGTGTTTAAATAATAACAATAACTAAGACTGTTCTTTAAATTTTTTATAAGAGCACTGCCCAGAACTGTTTGCCTTTGTAGTTATAAAGGGCCCTAGATCTCCAATTAAAAATTACTAAATCAAGTGTTTTTAAAATAAATCTGCATACTGTAGCATAATCACAACTTTGTTCTACACATGGAGAATGGACCACAATCACAAAGGTATCAAAGAAAGCAATGTTAACCTTGGAAACAGTACAGCCAAGCTGAGGCATTCAGAGAGATATAGACAATGGCATATGCAAATATTGTACTGACATGGAGGATGGAAAAGAAAAAATGTACCATAGTTACAGTACTTGTATGGAATAAACTGCTGGCATTTTCATCCAGAAATGTGCAAGATCTCGCAGGACAAAAGACATTGTTATGGCCTAGGATGCCCAGATTAGCACATAAATAACATGAAGCATTGCAAACAGGTTAGAAATAAATAGACCCGTTCATACAAGGGAACACGTATGGTGCTGTAACTTTCATAACTGCAAGAGACCGAGGAGAACAACCTGGGAGTAGACATAATGTTAGCATTAACATTAGGGGCACATGTAAATAGAATAGAGATGGCAGTTATGCATAATTTGCAAATATAATGATGCCAATGGAGACCTGTACAATGATTTATTTTCAACATTATACACAGCTGACATCATTTCAGTCCTAGAATGGGATTTCCAGTTTTGAGTCTCCCAGCCCCCACTGTAAAGCTTAAGAGGCAAATTGAGAAAGTCCAGAGATTCACTCAAAGCTTAGTTCATAAAATAATAGAATCAAGTTAGTAATTTCATAATAATTCATTAGGTCGGGGAACAGGCAGCCAGAGTGTGTTTATACACATTAGACTTATAGCGAGGTAACCGAGGTCGAATAACTGAACTCCCATAATGCCACCGCACAACATGCTGAATAATGCCTGGGTACCTACTTTCTGCTAGGTGAACAAGTTCATTAGGTGATAGGAAATGAGCCCAACCATTTCTGTTTTGCCTGGGATTGTAACTCGAAATTCTCGACTGTGGGTTGAGAACAAACCTGATTGTGCTACAGGGACCCTTTAAGTTTTATTTTTATTTTATTTTATTTTATTTTATTTTACTTGTATGTACAAGAGATCTTACATTCTTGTAAAACCACTAGCATGCATAGCATTTCGGGCAGGTCTTAATCCTAATTTTCCTCGGAATATGAGTACCAAATCATGTAACAACTGTTACATGATTTGGTACCCATTCACTGCTGGGTAAGCAGAGGCTTCAGTTAAGGATTGGCACCCAGTCAAGCCTCCCCAGCCAGACAGAATACAAACCCAGGCCAAAGCTCTAGCGAAGCGCCAGGTGAGTGCTTTACCACTGCACCACGGGGACTGCTGTGAATTGCTGTGGAAGTTATGTTGACAATACAAGAACTCGACATAAAAGAGGACCGATGATGATATTTCATTATATATTGTATATTGAGAGGAATGGTCTCTTTCAGATGAGGCAATGCAGAACAAGGAAAAAGAGGTGGAAACAAAGTGCAAATGAGCCAGAGAAATGTAATGAAATATTCATGTCCAGTGCAGAAGGTAAAGAAATGAAGCAAGCATGAAGACGGAGTCTTGAAAGTTACCTCATTGACTATAATAGCAATTATGACAGCATTCAAACTTTGGGAAATTTAGATGCACATAATTCTATCTATGAGGCGGTGCTCAATAGCTACATATTTCTTCTCATAGACATTGCTAGGAAAGGACACAAGATCACAAATATCACTTCTTCCAACACCCTTGAAACTATGACAAAAGTTCAAAACTCTCCACACTGCTTTAAATTGGATATTATTTCTGCTTGTTGGAACTGTGAAGGACAGAGCTGAGAAAATGGCTCACCAGTGAGATAAATGAAACAGTCCAGCACCATCAAAGCACAATGCCAGATTAAAAATGAAGCATGTTGATTAGAATCCCAAAGAGAATCTATCCAATGAAGTATGTACTGGCAGAGAAGGAAAGAGAAGATTGAGGTATGGGATAAGATACAGCTGGATGTTCATTGACCAAGTCATGAGTAAGGAAGAAAAAAAGTGCAAGCTAAGAGAATTAGAGAGGAAAAGTGCAGGGGGAATGATAAGAGGGACAGGAAATGTCCCTCTTTGGAGGAATAAAGGAGCGAGAATTTGGAGGAATAAAATGTGAGGCCAAGGCAGGAGGAGGATAATTAGGCACAGCAAGAAAGTGGACCTAATGAGACTGACAAGGAAATAAACCAGGGAAATGAGAGTGCATGACTAGATCAACACTCGTAATGATACTGTACTCTCCAAAATAAAACTAGCTCAATTGAAGAATCTAGCCCTGGGGAAAGAAACTTAAGTAGCCTAGTAGGAAGGAGCAGTATAAAAATTTGGTACAGAAATGCAGATGCCATTACAACTAAAGGGGGTAGAGCTTTAGATGGCATAACAGATGGCATAACGGAATCCTCATTCCATTGTAGTTAAGAGTCAAAACTGAGGAACGTAATAGAGGATGCACTATTCCCAAGAGGATACCTGGTAGTAAGAAAGGAAAGGCCGACCTGGTTTTGAACCCTAGGGGAGAAAATTGAGCAACGTTCCTTCACCGTTTGGGACCTGTACAGCCAGCAGCCATTAACTGGAATTGGCATCCACCAATTGCTTGGTGGATCATATTCTAGAGAAAATATTGTTTATTATAGGTAACTAGTTTCAGCACTGCTAACTGGTGGTTGTTAGTGGTAGTGTTTGTGGATAGTTAGGTAGTTAGCCAGGACATAACTTGGCAGTCTGTGTTTCCAAGGTGCATTCAGAGATTAATATAATATTGCCTTAGACAACAATTGAGTGGGTTAGCACAGAAACAAGGAGATTGGCAAGGTAATTAATTTAATTAAAAAAATACAAAACTTGAGCCACAAATATGACCAAATGCCAGGACAGGCTGAACACTATTCATATACGGTATAAAGATTTGTGAGTTGACCTCATTATATTCCTTCAGTATATTTGGGTCCTTAGTCTAATTCAGAAATCATGACAACATAATTTGTATAATTTAATTCAAGAAGAATGAAACATGTTAATAAATATATTAAATACTGTTAAAAGTTGCATATATATTACAGTATTTAAAATCTGTATAATAAAGCTTAAACTAATAATTACAGAAATGTGCTTGCATGAGTTTGTTGTATGTACTATTGGCCTTGTCTGTTGCTAACCATTTTAACATTTAATTCTCATATTCTTGACATAATTGAAGAAAACTGTAAAACTTAATATTTATTTGCATTCTTATTAGAATCATATTATTTTTGTATTTTATTCCACAAATGTGTGCTTATATTAACTGTACAATACAAATAATTCCCAGACGTTTTGAGATCGAGGCTAGATTTTGGTCCAGGATTGGGTATGAAGAAGTCTTCTAGCTTGGAGTCTCTACAGACCATGGTTCAAGAGGTGAGTATTTGTTAATTAAAGTTTGCTTGAAGTAGGCTGTGATATTCTCTGAGCACCTCTTGGTATGAAATTTGTTACCTGAATGGCATTATTGGCAGAATTTTAACCAAAATTTAGTATTCTAACTTCAGTCCTATCTAACTGCTGTGACACAGCATCTGTCACTTTATTATATAATCATTCTCTCTACTGGTGATTGACCTCTTAACCATTACACTGCGCTTCAAATATGACAAGTCTCTAGGGTGCAGGGGAAAAAAATGACTTCCAACAAATTTTTGTTTTATTCCAGAATTGTTAAATTCCCTTCCCTGACCACACACATGTTGAAATAAATGTAAACAAATACTTCCTTTGGCCACAGTGGTGTCCACAAAATAGGGTGTGACATCATGGCTGGGTGGTCTCCCACGGTGAAGACTTCTGGGGCCAGATTCACAAAGCGGTTACGTAAGCACTTACAAACCTGTACATCTTTTCTCAATCTTTGGCGGCTTTGTTTACAATTATTAAACAGTTAATGAGTCCCTAAGTACCAGGAGGCTGTTTATAACAACAACAACAGTTGATTGGGAAGTTTTTATGCTTGTAAACTTTTTAATAAATGAACCAAAGCCATCAAAGATTGAGGAAAGATGTACATGTACGTAAGTACTTGTGTAACTGCTTCATGAATCTGGCTCTGGATGTGTTCACATAGTAGATTCAACAAGCACAAGTTGCCACAAATTTTATTATGTTAAGTTTTTGTACACTACTGTGACCACAAACATTATTAATTTTTCCAGTTAATTATTAATTACTGTACTCTTAATTAATTGAATTTAATTATTTACTCTTTCAACTTATTTACACACTATACACCATTACAGAGTATATATATCACTATAAACACACTTAGTACTACACAACTACACAAGTGTGTGATAATCACTGAAGCAGTCAACGGCACAAAACGCAACTTTGCACCCAACGCACCACATACAAACACACTTTCACTCCCTCTCTCTACATTGCATGTGCTTGCAAATAACGCAAGCACGTTTACCCTTGTCATGTGTTCCTGTTCTTGTGTAACCAAGCTTGTGTACAGTAAAACCTCCTTTGTTACTCAATCTGTCGGGAGCTATGTGAGGGATTGATGGTGTACAAACTCGAGTCACAACAATATCTTCCAGCCAAAATTTCATCAGCAATTGTTCCAACTGTCTACAACTTTGTTTGGGAAATTTAATTTTCTTGTATGTACTGTATTTCTTTGTCTGTATGTTTAGTTAGCTGAAGTCTATAATCTATTGTTCTTAAAGCACCAGGTCTCTGGAATTCTTCCCTATCAATTTTGGTGATTTCCATTACTATTTTGTATGTAGTGATCATATCACCTCATTTTTTTCTTTTATCATCTAGTTTTGGCATGTTTAATGACTCTAACCTCTCATAGTAGCTTTTGTCTTCCAGTTCTGGAAGCCATTTAGTTGCATGTCTATGCTTCTCTTCAAGTTTGTTAATGTACTTCTTAAGATATGAGTGGCATACAACCGCTGCATATTCCAGCTTTGGTTGCACAAAGGTTCGTGAACAATTTCTTTAGTACTGTATATCACCATCCATGTATTTAAAAGTAATTCTGAAATTGGAAAGTGTAGCATAGGCTCCTCACACAGGTTTCTTTGTTGTTCTCGGGTGACAGTTTTCTATCTGGAACTACCCCCTAGACCTCTTTCTTTATCATAATTTGGTAAATCTTTTTTTTGCATAATTTGTAGGTTGTGTGTGGCCTATTTTCTCTTATTCCAAATTCCATTAAGTGGCATTTATTCATTAAATACCATTTGCTAAGTGGTGCTCCATACGCTTAATTTGTCCAGGTCTTCTTGATGAATGAATCACAGCCTGGTGTTTATCAAGTTCTCTGGAGATGTTTATCAAGTTCTCTCTTGAATTCTGTGAATGGTCGGCCAGTTATGCCTCTTTATGTGTAGTGTAAGCGTATTGAACAGTCTCTAGATAAGAGATGCAAAAACAAGACTATAGTATTTATAATACTCCTGTAGATAGTGTGTGAGAGATGAATATATGAACGTTTATGAATAACGGTCTGATGACTCATTTTAGTGATCGGAAAATGTTAGTAACAAATGGCCAATTATTGTTAAGTCATGGTTGAAGTTTGCTGATGTACATAATTATTTTGCATGTTGTGGAAAAAATATTTTTTTCTAGATGGCCTTGGAAGAAGAGGGACATCGAATGGGTTCAGGTCGAGTGCCAAGGGGACGAGGCTGCAATGAGAGCTTTCGTGCTGCTGTTGATCGATCATATGATGTTCCTCTTAATGGCCTTCGCAACAAAATGGAAACTCGTAAGTTTATTTAAAAATTTAGTTTATTTGATCAAGGTTTGAATACGTTTATTATGTAAAGCCAAAACTTTTATTCTGCTCATTTAATGAACTTGTCTATGCTACCATTTTATTTTTATTCCAAAAGAAATAAATTAGTACAATATCACTGCAATATTTTAATTTCAATTATAATTACAGTAAATGTGCTTAAAAATGTTAAATTTTAATAATCTCTTGGGTTGCAGTTCTTCAGTGTATGTCTTGGTTTCAAAAGGTGTGTAAAGTATTCTGTCAGGGCATTTGTTACCAGGATTCTCACTACTGGGACTGTTACTACCAGGGCTCTCACTGCAACTGTCATTACCAGGGCTCTTCCTACCAGGACTTTCACAACCAGGGCTCACGCTGTCTCACACACAGTACTCCCACTATGAGCTCTTACTGCCGGGGCACTTTCTACTAGGGTTCTCAGTGCCAGAATTCTCACTACTAGGGCTTTCACTACTGGGGCTCTCATTACCAGCATAATACCAGGGTACCCACTACCAGGGTACTCACTATGGGGACTTTAAGTACCAGGGTTCTCACTACCAGGACTCACTTCTGTGGCTCTCACTACTGGGGCTTTTATTGAATTCTGCTGAATAAGGCTTCATGTTAAATGAAAGAGCTTTGTATATATAATAGTTTTTAAATATTTTCTTTATAATTTTTACATTATAATTTAATGTTTGTTTAATTATAAATACATTAAAACATATTTGTTAAAACCAATTCTATTTGATGTTTAATTTAAAAATGTTTTATAAAATGAATTTTTATTTTTCAAAATTTATTTAAATATATCTAGAAAAACTTTGACATAATCCTTGGTGCAGAGTACCATATCTAATAAAAATTTGTTCATTTTTAGTTGCAGAAGAAGAGTCTGAATCAAGTGGCTCTGGCTTCGGGAGGGGCAATAGTCGACAGTCTTCGGTAAATTCTGCTGCCGAGGACAAGCACAAGAAAATTGGTAAAAAGAAGCCAGGGATCTTTAAAGGTCTTGGCTCCATGTTCAGGTGAGATTTAAGGATGTATATTCTCATTGCACAAATACCTTTCTTTAATTTAACCTCCTTAACTGCACACCTAAATTAGAGTATATTTTCTGGTTTGCATAATAAATATAAAGAATTTCTTTTTGGTATCATGAAACATTGTACACTGATCATGGGAAAATAATTAAAAAAAATAGTTCTAATCGATATAGTTTAGCAGTAGAAAGCTGGAGAAATTGTGATTGCATCTATTGCAGTGGCTTAGAGGCTGAAGCACCAGGCCCGTTCCTGGAAATGTTGACAGTCCTCAGTTTCTCATCCCTTGTTGTTAAGAGCTATTATTTGCTCTTATTTCATATTCTGGAAGGTAATAATCAAGTTCACATCTTGAAGTATATTCCTCCTCCTCACTGAGATCTTCCAGGTCCTTCAAAGTCCTTGTTATTTTGCATAGTGTCAGTGGTCCCTGGTATGGTCACTCTGCCTGTTTGAGTCACTGGATGGTCATACACCAGACATGGTGCGCATCATGTTTAGTGAGGTCCGGGAAGGAAGCTAAAGCTCTCAGGATTTTTCCAATATGACTAACGATTGCCAGAGATCTCTAGTGTCGAGTGTCGTCCCCGTTTTCGTCGTCTCATCTTTTGGCGTGTTGTTTAATCTTCTTTTCATAATTTAGTTTGGAAAATTATTGATTTACAATATGAGCATGGAAAATGTATTAAAAATATGATACTGATTTAAGTATAGAAAACAATTTGTGAATCCAGCTTAATCTTTTGAATGAAACCTGAAAAGGGAAAGCATTCCATTATACATGTAGATATATACTTTGTATACTATACAATAAAATATAATTATAAAACATGGAAAACACATGGTCAGAGCACATGCCCTCAAATTAGGGCTGGATTCCTCAGATAAGACATCAAACTCATAAGTGCAATTAAGTGTACAGTACAAGCTAAGTAAAATATTTATAATATTTTCATTACAGCCTAAGAAACGGCTACCACATCTAAGGAAGGCAGCAGGCACACAAATTACCCACTCCCGGCATGGGGAAGTAGTGACGAAAAATAACGATGCGAGATTTATCCGAGGTCTCGTAATCGTATTTTGTATAATTACAATTACGAGATGAGCAAAAATAAGAAAAAATACTAATTGGCAGAAATCACTCAAGGTAATAACTGACAAGCTGGAATTCACTGATAAAGATGCAATAAAGCACCTAAATTATTGAGACTATCTCAAAGCTCTCCAAATGTACTCTCTAGAAAGGAGATGAGAGAGATATCAAATAATATACATGTGGAAAATACTGGAGGGCCAGGTCCCAAATCTACACAGTAAAATAACAACATACTGGAGTGAACGATATGGAAGAAAATGCAGAATAGAACCAGTGAAGAGCAGGGGGTACCATAGGCACAATCAGAGAACACTGTATAGACATCAGAGGTCCATGGCTGTTCAACATCCTTCCAGTGAGCATAAGAAATATTGCCAGAACAAATGTGGACATATTCAAGAGAAAACTAGATAGTTTTCATCAAGGAGTGCCGGACCAACCGGGCTGTGGTGGGTATGTGGGCCTGCTGGCTGCTGCAAACAACAGCCTGGTGGATCAAGCTCTCACAAGTCAAGCCTGGCCTCGGGCCGGGCTTGGGGAGTAGAACTCCCAGAACTCCATCAAGCAGGTATCACCATGATCTTCTGAAAGTGTATTTTTTTTCTTAAATTCAAATTCAGAGGGAAAATCTTGTGGTTGACTTTGACCCATTGTGTAGAGATCTGGATTTTTTAGGGTGAAGGGTCCACTGAGGATGACAATAAATGTCAGGAGACATGTTTGCCCTAATTTTTCTTTGTGCTATTTGCTGTATTTTTCTAACTACTTTTTACAATATTCCCTCCACTGGTTTGTGTGGCTGCCATTCCATTCCTTGAAAGTTGGCAAAAGGAAAAGGATGCATTTCAATTGATACCTGTATACAGTAGTTTGTCTATCATGAAGATCATTATTAAGAGGAGGGTGCAAGTTCCCCTTAAATTACTGAATATCTTGAGATGCAAGTAAAAATTCTAAGTTGTTTGATTATATGTTATATAAATCTTTCATCACTTTATTACAACGAAGCTAATAGATATGAAACTTTATATACTATATATATGTAATCTAGATTAATGTCATTTTAATTTGTAGAAAAACAGTTGCTCCAATGGCTGGAACTATTCAGGTTTGTGCAAAAGATATTTCAGTAATATCTTGAAAACTGAAGCATTTTGTGCAGGCATTTAATAGGAAGTCAAGTACCATTTACCCATTAGTGGTATCCAACAGTGTGATTGGAAATGCAGAATGGACCCAGTGAAAGGTAGATATGCTATATGCACAGAGAACACTGTATGAACATTAGAGGTCTGTAAGAAATATGGTCCCAACAAAAGTGATGTTCAAGAAAAAAATTAGCACATTCATGCAAGAAGTGCCACTTCAAGCAACAGCGTTTTAGACCAAGGTATCACAAGCTATCTCCTTTAGGGCAGAGACGTCTGATGACTACTCTTATGCAGAACTTATTGACAGTAAAAAAAAAAAAATGTTAGTACAAGATTCAAAAGGTCAAATGAGTGCTCTGCTATATGAAAGAAGTCACTGCCATTATGAGAATTGTTGATGTGAGATGCTTTCAACCACCCATTTTCTGGTTGGGTTTGGAATTCTGCAGCAAATCACTGGAGTCTGGAGCAATCTGGATTATTTACTGTGTACTGTGCTCTTCAAGCCAGGCATCTAGCAGTAAGAGTTCCTAGACCAATAGTCATGCTCATAGTTTGAATGGTCTAACATTCATGAGGCCGTTATATTACCACGTTGATCTTTGCCTAGACAAGAGGAGATGCACAGTGTAACTGAACATCTACTACTCTTGGTGTTTACAGGAAACTGTCTCCATTAGTGTGAGATAGACCTGTTCATTGCCCTGCCACACAGCCAACTGCAGTGGTTCTCTCTTGCCATGTGTGACTTACCAGTTATTCTAGTGTTGAGGAATTTCTGTTATACTGGACAAATGTAAGAGTTTATTAAAGCTCAAGATGTATTAAAATGTTTACTATGCACCTTGTATAAAGGGGAGATGTGTTTTGATATACTGTACTATATTTGCCAGCATTTACTTACATACCTTTATTTTACAAGGATATTTTTTGGAAAAAACTATTTTAGTTGTTTCATCATACATTTATTGAAAGATATTTTAGTGTGGATTTTGTACCCCAACTCTTATCTCCAATGAGAATCAGCTGTATAGTTGTTTATATTTTGGGCAAGAGAATTGCTATACAGGATGTGAAACTTGTATTTCTCGATGTGATGTTTTGTTTTGCTGCATCAGGCCACCAGGGCGGTGCATCGGTGGTGTTGCACCATCACAGCACTCTGGTTTTGTTGTCATTCACTCATTGCAAATGGCTGGCTGGCAGAGAAAGTTTAACATTCCTTTCAAATTTCTTGGAGCATTTTCTATTTAGATAATGAATAAATATGTCTTAAAGGTAATACAGTCGTTAAATAATGTGTGACATATATCAGGTGTAGGTTATGTATGCTGGGTAAGGTGGCGAGATGATGCGAGCTTCCCTCATAACTGCTGATGTGTCATAAGCAATTTTTCATAAGTGTGTGATAACAGACCATGATAACCTGGCTTGTTTTTAACATTTTATTATTAGTAACACAATTTACTGTAATAATTTGGCTTGTTTTCAATATTTTATTAACGAAGATTCATGTGCCTAGCGAACTTACCCAGTATTCTCGTCGGTCTCCCTAGCCTTCGGTGCTCGGTCTCCCATCCGTAATATGGCCGCATTAGACGCAGGGCAATTTTTTTGAAACATTTAAAAATAAAAAAAAGTGTGTCTTTGTGTGTCGACACCAGCAAATACGGTACCTTATTAATCACACTAGGTTATTCTTCTGTAGTTAGACAGTAATGATACTCATTTATAGTAATTATAATATTCTCAGAGAAGTGTGTATAGAGTATATTTGTACAAATTGTGTGCAATTTGATGATAGAATTCATTTAAGGGACACTAATATGTCTGCATTTATTTTAGTTTAGTGTATGGCTCATATGTCACTTGTGCAGTAATATTTGTTTAATGAGGTGCATGCACAATCTTAATCAATTTATCTTATTCAAAAGTTATTACCTGATTAGAACATTATTATTACTATCATTAAAGCATCATTATTATTACAAAATTAATGATTATTGCTATTACTGGCACTATGCTATTAAATTCACTATCTACGATTTGTGAAGTAAAATTATCCCTTTTTGTAACTCAGACTCTAGGTTACAAGTATGAGTTACAAATTAGGCCTGGCCAGTTTATTGTGTTGCATAATATTTAATCTACTAACCCTCTTGCATAGAATTAGCTTAGTTTATTCAGAGCAACACATCCTACTTTTAATTAAAGTTAAGGGATGCTAAGAACCATCTCCTCACTAGTACTATAAGAGCTTAGTGAATCAGATTCTGGCATTCCGAGTCTCTGAGTATCTGAACGAATTGAAGTTTGTTTTTTTACACATTTTGATCTTTTAACCCAGATCACTTTGCCAGTTTAGTGATTGCTAATCAGACCCATATAGCAGTATGAGAATATTATTTTATCATATGTAGCAGTGATGCCTGATATCTGCACGCCATATTATTATTAGTATTGTTATCTCTCTTGAAAAGTTAGTCCCCTGCATTCCTTCAACAAGTAAACTTCAGAGAGATGAACATTGTAACTCTCAGTGGATAGTGAGCATTTTACACTGTGTAAATATAACACTTGGCCAACTGGTTAATGTAATCCAAACTACATTTTGTTTTTATGTAGGTAGAGTAGCTCATTAATAAATCAAGATAAGGTATTTAATTTTTCTCTATTTTCCCTTATTCATTTATGACCTGTGATTGGCAGGAGTTATTTATTCCATGAACTACCATTTGGCCATTAGCAGCATTAATAAATGGGATGTAGCATGAACCTGAATGCTCTATATATTCCCTAGTTCAGAAGTGAGAGCTTAACACTATCGCATTCCATACGGGCGCACCGCAGAAATGACGTCATGCGCCATTCGGTGCGGGCGAGCGTGCGGCGACACCGAAAAGTGTATACGCGTTTCAGTTTTCTCACCTTATTTCTCGTGCTACGTCGTTTGTTTTGGTATCATTGTGTTCGCAATAGAATTCTCTATAGGGGTATATGCATATACGGTCTAAAAGCCCGGCGTGACTCCCCACAGCAAAGCCTAAAGTCAGCCAAGTTACCTCATGAACGAGCACCAATTGGCACACCTGCGGACTAATGTGTATACAGTACTCGTTCAGTTTGATTACATAAATTTTTGTGTTACGTGTTTCATCTTGGTATCAAATTGTTCACAAAATAAAGGCAGGTATTTTAAAACTAGTCGCATAATAATAGAACAATAAATGGAATTTTAACAAATATTTTAACTTTTGGACACTTTTTGACGCTCACCACCACAAAATTATTTATATCTTTCCAGTGTTCTGACATCAATTTTCGTGTTATGTCTTTCATTTTGTTATCAAATTGTGTGCAATCTAAAGGCGTTCATTTTGAAACCACTTCCAGATTGATTGGATAAAATATAAATTTTTAACAAATATTTTAATGAGTGACGCAAGACGGAGGCAACCGAGAGGACTCGAGAAAAATACATGACGGCGGACGTTGGCAATGAAGTGTGATAGTGTTAAGCAAGATCTGTAGGGTCCTTAGAATGGTAACCTCATAAGTTGGTGTTCCAGACCCCACTAGGTCTGTACTTGTAATTACTGCATATTGAACTGTGCCTAAAGCCTTTTTTTGCTTAGAATTATGAATTGATAGCATTTTGCAGACTTTTAACAAAATTTATGACTACATAAATACACCAGCTGCTTTTCTAATAACTCTTATTTCCATCCGTTTCTTTCACTTCTTTGTCAGGGATGTAATAGTGAAACATACTCATTCTTTTCTTGACTTCCATACTTACATTCTTTCATATTATTATTCACCTTAACTACTTATCTTGTTACTCATTTCTCCTTTTATTTCACCATCCATAATTTTATTTTTCTAGTAATTAAATTTACTATCTCCTCAGATATCTCTTCTCCCATTTTTACCCTACTTTTTTACATTTCAGATAACTTTGTTTTACTACTTAATGAATATTTACAAAATTCACAGCATCCAATGTTCTTCTCTCATTATTTTATTAACACTTTCAGGTACATTTGCATTTGTGCAGCATCCCTTGACTATATGAAGGAGTACAGTGTGTATCAGGAGTACTACTTGGTGCTATAAATCACCATCACACAGGATGATTAGTCCTGTGTAATGGGTATTTTTAATACCATGTTACTAGCTCTTGACACACACTGTATTCCTCTCAAATACTCTATCACATTCTTGGTATTTGCTTTATTGACATTCAAATGTATGCGCTTGTATGCCCTGTCAATTCATTCACATTCTTCTCCAATGCCTCCTAAATCTCTGCAAAGAACACTTTATCATCTGCATACAAACTTGTGAATAACAACAATTGATTGTTTATTTCCATCACAGTCCATCTCCACTCCACATGTTCTTGCCTTTTCCTTCCTAATTAACCAGTTCACACATGTACTGATGGATTACTTAGAAGATGAAGGTAGTTGGCAGGACATAGAGAGCTACTCCTTACTGTACTTCCCACACAGATAAGTTGGATACGGTTTTATGCTATTTGGATTTTAAGTAGTTGCCGTAATTTCAGTTGTGACTCTTTACATAATACAGTATAAACAAAAAATACTTTTAATTGCAGTAACATCTCTCAAATGTTGAAACTGTTATTTCTATTGATATCCACATAATCATATATAGTTCAGTAATCACATAAGCAGCACCTACTGTTGATGCTCAGTAGTACAGAGTTATACAACTTATACTTTACACGTCATTTCCATATGGTAAGAAATTAGATCATATATTTATATGTAATGGTTTATATAGACAAAGAAAGGCAGGAAGAACTGGTAAGTGAGTGAATATTTTGCCTGTGTATATGTTATATGGACAATTTTTATATTGCTGTTATATTTCATCTGTTGAAATTAATCGATGTCAAGGCTGCTGAGTGTGATTGAAGAAATTGCCATACATAGCATAAGGCCAAAGAAAAATGTGATTCTGTTTCCGCTGATAAATGTACACCAGCTGCCAACCAACTCTGCCGTCACACACATTAGTCAGAAATAAACTGGCAACAGTAACTCAGACTAATTTATTGTATTCAATTTTAATAAAAATGTTTATCAAAACCCCTAGAAATTAATTGCCAAAAATACTGCATATATATATAAAAGTGTATGTACTGTATGAATATGGATAAAATCACATGGAAAAAGTATTGTCTCAAAAATATGCCAAATTGTATTGCTGTAATAAGAACTTTGTTACAAATTTGGATGCATTACAAAACTGAATTTTAGTATATAAAATCTTTAAAATAATGCTTTGATTGAATACAAAAAGGTCCCTGTCTCGGCAGTATCATTTGGCTGCATCATAAATTAAAGTCTTCTTTGTCTGTATGAGAAAACCATATAAAGTCAGGCAAGACAACATACTGGACACTGTATGTACTGTACCACAGAAAACTTTCAAGTGGTCCATGCAGTTTTATTATAAATACTAGGTAATCAGTGAAGAGCATGTATTTCATCCTGGGATGACTTGATAGGGTCATTCATAAAAAAGTCAAGTCTTTTGAACCCTCTCTGGGCATCACAGTTGACCACAAGAGGAGAGCTATTCCTGAGTACAGTACCAGTTGGCCTGCTTGTCCACCTATCCTGATTATCTCCAGGTAGCACCCACATCTGTGTTCACTAAGCTAAGCCAACTTGTATACATTGCCATAATGAACAGACTGCAAAAAAAAAAAAAAAAGCAACAAGGAAGAGAGGGAAAGCAGCCGTATGATTTTTGCTTAAGGGGTTCTCATATTTGCTCAAAACCATTTTTTTATTAGTTATATATGGTTGCTATCAAAAGTAAAATTGGAAGAACAAACATAAAGATAAAGGAAGATGCCAAGGGGTACTGAAGTATGAAGTGGGGCACCAATACAGCACACCAACTGAAGAGAGATACTTGAAACATGTTATGGAAGAAGACTATAATTAATGAAAAATAAAAATTGCATTATTCAGTAATCCTGAGATTGACTTGGCTAACCAGTGCAGCAGCTGGAAAATACATGACATAGAACAAGGGAGCATAGACCAAAGGTTAAAAAATAGCTTTTCAGAAAAGGCATGTCCCACTACAGTTAAATACTACTATAATGAAACAACTGGGCAAGAGAATTTGAGTGTTGTGCTTTCTTGAGCATAACACTCAAACCCTTACAATTTATGTTATCATGAACTGGGAAGCCTGCAATTTATGTTGTCATGAACTGGGAAGCCTGTATCCCTAGGCTTGTATCAAGGTCTCCCGTAGGCCAAACTACTGATCTTCCTGAAGAATGGTAATTTTGTCTTGGCCAACAGAAGAAGAGAATTTTGAAGGTCAAATCAGTAAATGATAAAGTAACATGAAATCTGAGGACAAAGGTTTTATGCCTTACAAGATACCATTATTCTTGAATGATGCATGTGTCCAACTTGCCCCATATATGATGCACTGATAGATCAGAAAGTGTATTTAGCTGGTGTTCACATTTAATAGTGTGTGGTGTGAGTCCACTTCTGCCCAACCCTTCCTAACACCACTCATCCCACAGTTTCTCTCTTCTCAGCACATGACCAAATTTATGATACATAATTTTTACATGTTATTTATGATTTATTTATTTAATATTATTTACCATTTATTTATGGTATAATAGATAATTTCTAATTTGTTTATGAACAATATTTGCAATACAAGTTAAAATATTTATATTGGTTGTTTTTTCATACAAGAACAGCATAGTAAATACCGATACATCAGAACCATCACAGTGAGAAAATAAGTATAGCGCAACATTTCACATTAATATGGAATTGCTGTGATTAATGAGAATCATATCCAGATTTGATTTCATCCAGATATTCAACAAATAAAATATTCATTGTTGAATTTCATTCAACAATGAAATTAAAGTTGTTGAATATCTGAATTTCATCCAGATATTCAACAAATTTGGATGAAATCCAAATTCAGCAAAATTCTCACCTCTTTATTTTACTCAATTTCAACAATTATTTCAACCATTATTGTTTTAAAAGCACATAATAGAGCCTAAATCTTATGTGAAGTTATATACAAAAAAACAATGAAATTTTTGTAAGTCATTTTCGATATTTTGTGCTTTCAGATTTGGTAAACACCGTAAAAGTATTGATAATTCAACTGGACTCCCACTGAAGGGGGATAGAGAAGGAGACAGAACAGAGGGTCGAACTGAAATGGACAGAGCAGAAGTGGAGAGATTGGCTGCTGCCCGGCGTCTTCAACAAGAAGAGCATGACCACATGCAGGAGCAATACAGGAGAATGATTGAGAATACTGGACGGTCTTCTCAGGTATGTTTTTCCTTACTCCGTAATGTTTACTATTTTTTTAAATAACAGAGTCTACTCTGTTGTTTAAAAATATTGTAAATGCACACACATTCATAAATAATAGATATGCAAGTACTCACCTCACCTTATTGTACTCTCCTAGTTGTACTTGCGGAGGTTGAGCGTCAGCTCTTTGGTCCTGCCTCTCAACTGTCAATGAACTGGTGTACAAGCTTCTGAGCCTGTTGGGCTGTATCATATCAACACTTAAAACTGTGTATGGAGTCTGCTTCCACCACATCACTTCCTAATGCATTCCATTTGATAACTACTCAAACACAAAAAGTTTTTTCTAATGATTCTGTGACTTATTTGGGTACTCGGTTTCCATCTGTGTCTCCTAGTGTGTGTGTGCCCCTGGTATTAAACTGTCTTTATCTACCCTATTAATTCCTCTAAGAATCTTGTATGTGGTGATCATGTCTCCTCTAACTTCTATTGCTTAGACACTAATAATTGCTTCTATTGCTTAGGTACTGCTCCCTTATTCACTGAATCACCCTGCCATTACTCTTGCCTGTTTATCCAACTTATGCACCAGCTCTTAGTTCAAAACCTTATTTGACGAGTGCTGGAAAGCGGGACACCAAGTGTAGCTCTTCCTCTAACTAGACTTAGGTAATTACACACACTAATGGATAGACTGTTTGGCAATAGTAAGGCAGATCATTTGTAGACTATAAAAGTCATTTGAAGTAACTTTCCAGATAAGATCTATTAAATGACCCAATTACCAGCTGTAAGACAGATATAAAAGTAGGAAGTTTAATGGTGCACAATGGATTGAATAGGAAAGACTGGGAATAAGAGGTTATGGAAGTATATTGGGGAAAGTGAGTGAATACAGGCTGATAAAAAAATGTCTGTAGGGTAGAAAAAGTTCATTGGGTAGGTGAGCTAATGGGATTTCTGGTTTTACCTCTGATATTATTCCATAGAATCAGCAACAACAGCAGCAACCTCAAAATCGAGGGGATGATGGGGAACCATCACGGTCAGAACGGATGCATCAATTAAGAGCAGAACACCAACGTCGCCATGCTCAGAGAAACCGAACCTACCCGACCGATGACTTAGAAGAGCGATATGAAAGTGCTCTAAGACAGGTAGGTTAAGATAGCCATGTACTGGAAGTCTACTAGGATGATCCTACAAGATTACGATTTATTCTTTTCAGGTTGCAGTAATGAGTTCAGGACTTGGATTGGTTATATACCTTTTGAGGATAACATTATATAGTATGTGCGTGTTGGTGTGTTTAATTACACAAGAGTAATAACCTAAGTGTAGGTACAGGATGACAGCTATATTCATGGTGTCCCGTCTTCCCAGCACTCTGTCAAATAACGCTTTGAAACTACAGTACTGACGGTTTTGGCCTACACAACCTTCTCACTTGTTCCAACCGTCTACCACTCTGTGGAATTTAATTTTCTTATATTTCTTCGGCAGCTTTGTTTAATGAGCTTACATCTATGACCTCTTGTTCTTGGTGGTCCAGGTCTCAAGAATTCTTCCTTATCAATTGTGCGATTCCCATTACTCTTTTGTATGTAGTGATCATATTTCCTCTTTTTTTCTTCTATCTTCTAGCTTTGGTATATTTGGTGCCTCTAACCTCTCCTCATAGCTCTTATCTTTCAGTACCGGAAGCCATTTAGTTGCATGTCTTTGCACCTTTTCCAGTTTGTTGATGTGCTTCTAAAGATATGAGCCACACAACCGATGCATATTCTAGCTTTGGTCTCAAAGGTCGCGAATAATTTCTTTAGTATTTCACCATCCATGTTATGTATTTAAAAGTAGTTCTGAAATTGGAAAGCATTTACATAAGCTCCTTGCACAGTGTTCTTTATTTGGTCCTCGGGTGACAGTTCTCTATATAGAACCACCCCTAGATCTATTTCTTTATCAGAATTTTGTAAAGGTTTTTCACATATGTAAGTTGTGTGTGGTCTATTTCCTCCTATTTTACATTCCTTAATATGGCATGGCAAATTTCATTTGCCAAGTGGTGCTCCATACACTTATTTTGTCCGGGTCGTCTTGAAGGGTATGACAATGTCTAAATTTCTTATCTTCCTTCGTATCATAACATCATCAGCAAACATGTTCTCATAATTCTGTATTCTTTCTGGTAGATTATTTACATACACAATGTATGTAAATAATCTACCAGAAAGAAAGGTTCAGTTCTTACTAGTGCAAGAACTGAACCCTGTGGTACTCCACTTGTGACATTTCTCCAGCCTGATACATTGCCTCTGATTGTTGCCCTCATTTTTCTGTCGGTTAGAAATTTTTTCATCCATTTTAGAAGCTTCCCTGTCTCTCCTCCAGTATGCTCCAGTTTCCAGAACAACCTCTTGTGTAGGACTCTGCAAAAGCCATTTTTAGGTCCAGTTAAATCCAGTCAACCCAACCATTTTTTTCTGTAAAACCTCTGTGGCTCTGTCATAGAAACTAAGTAAATTCATTACACAGGATATTCCAGATTGAAAACCATACTGTCTGTCTGTCATTATATCATTTTTTTTCTCCAGGTGTTCTACCCATTTGGTTTAATTATTTTTTCCAGTATTTTGACTACTGTACTGCAGTTGTCAGTGATACAGGTCTATAATTAAGGGGGGTCATCCCTGTTGCCATTTTTGTGGATTGGAACTATGTTAACCCTTTTTCATATATCTGCCAGGACTCCTGTATGCAAAGAAGCATGAAAAATGAATTGAAATGGAAGGTCGAGCTCAGGTGTACATTCTCTAAGAATCGAAGGTGAAACTCCGTCTGGGCCAACTGCTTGTGTCTACTTAGCTCTTTGAGCATTTTTCCACTTTGTCTCTAGGCACCTCTATGTGTTCTGTGTTATTCTCTGAATTCTTATTGCATCTGGTTCTCTGAAAATTAAATTTTGCACAAACACTTTGGAACTCTTCATTTAATATTTCACACATTTCCTTTTCATTTTCTGTGAATCTGTTTCCCATTTTCAACCTCTAAATTTTATTCTTTACCTGCAATTTGCTTGTAATAAATTTATGGAGTAGTCCTGGTTCTGTTTTGCATTTGTCTGCTATCCCTTTCTCAAAATTTCATTCTGTTGCTCTTGCGTCTGCTGTGTAATTATTTTCTTGCTGCTTTGTATTCTTGGTATGTTTGAGGGTTTGGCCTCTTCCTATATTGATTCCATTTTTGTGTCTTTTGGTCATTGGCCCCTCACAATTTCTGTTGAACCAATCCTGTTTTCTAGTTCTGCATCTCTGCCTTGGTACATACATCATCAATTTCTGTAGGCGCACTCAGTGCCTCCCTGTTTGCACCCTCTCTCACCCATTTTTGTCCATAGGATTTGTGGCTCTAACCTTGTAGAACTTAAGAACTGAGCTGTTGACAGACCATATATAACCTGGGTTACCACCTGGTGGTACTCAAGGGAAGCTAAACTTAGGTTATTATCAGTGGTCAAATATCTGTTACTTTTTCACATTAACTACTGTATTTTTTTTTTCTCTATAAGCATTGATTTGTTTACTGATATTTTACTTTCTGTATACAGTAGTTCATTCTGGTGGGTTAATCTGTGATTCCTATGTCTACCTCACTTCTATTGAGAGAACTAAATTCTGATCCTGTGTTCTCAGTAGGCCTATGAAAGTTAACAGAAGCCTCATAGTTACTACTGGCTCTCATTAATCGGTTTCTTTGCTCAGGGAAGCCTCCAAGGGCTCCATATAAAAAGTGGCAAATGATTTTATTCAACACTATATTTTTATACAACTGTTGTAGATACTCATCAGTGCTGCATTAATGGTATATGAAATAAATAAATGTAAAAGTATAAATGCCTTTTTTTCAAAAAACTATTTTCTGTAAATTGTATATGGATGTGGCCATAGAAGGGGGAGTTGTGTGTGTCTGCAGTTCTTGGACTTCATACGGAGTTCTCAAAACTTTGTTTCATGTTATGTATGAGTGTTACTAATGCACACCAATATGCTGATTACCTGGCATGTGGTGATCAGTAAATGTAAGTCACTAAACACAGATTTGTATCATTACTGAAAAACTAACTGTCCAGAAACTTGTATTGGTGTAAAGTCTGCACCCGTCTCAGAATACATCTTAATTCCTTTAGACTGGCAATACAGTGTAGCTTGTTGTATTTGTATATTTGCCTACTTATTACTTGAAATATTCAGTTACATACAAGCGGTAAATTACCCAACAAACAGAACTCATCATAATATGGCAGAATTTAGTCCCATATACAGTACTGCTGTTATAAAAAAATATATATAGTCTCCATTTTCTTTCTTTAAGCTAATATCTTCCCACTCCAGGAAAGTGGGGAAAGATGTGGTGGTGGTGATACATATTTAATAACATGAAGTAAGTCCATATGTGCTTATTTTTTAGGATGCTTTTATATAATAAAGCTAAAAGCAAATACAGTAAGATTTACAAATTTTTAAATTTTTATTTATTTATGACCTGACTGGCATACATACACAGTACAGTACTTCAGTTGTTTTTAACATTCCTGTTTCCTTACAACAGTGCTTTAATGTACAAAGAACTAACAGCAGTGCTTAAATATATGTGGAAGAATTTTGTATATTGGTTTGACTTAATAATTGTAATTACTAGGTAAATTAGAAGCCTACATTTACATGATTTTTATTCATGTGAATTTAAGATGTGATCTGGGACGTCTTGATCTTGTCCAAGTCTGTGTGAGTACGCAGTGCTTTGAGCTCGTTTCTCCCAAAATTGTTGCAGGTGCTCGGAGAGAGAGGAGATTCGGAAGCTGACAAGGCTAACAATAATACGCTTAGCTCTACTGACACCAAGCCGCAAGTAATGTCCAAGAGCAGTGTGCATAGGAACTCTAAAACTCCTAAACCCACACCCTCATCCTCTTCCTCTGCCACTACTAACAGAACAAAAGGGATAGGAAATCCAAATAGGCACTCATTTCATGGGATTATTAGTAAACCATCTAATAACACCTCTGTTAATACAAATCGCAACTCATTTTATGGCTCTTGTATAAGGCCAGAAAACGATTCCCCAACTCCTAATGAAACAACTCCAGTATCCCCTTCAACGGCTTCTGCATCAGAACCCATTCCTTTTGTTCCTTTACCAAATAAATACATGCATAATAATGAAATATATTCAAAACCTTATAAAGTGTCTAAGAGTTCAGATAGACCTGAAATACTTTCATCATCATGTAATGGTGATGAGGCTAGTGCAAATAATTTATCAAATTTAATTATTCAGAACACAGTGTCAAGTAAACCACCACTTCCTCCAAGGAATAAGCCAATAAATAATAATTATAAACCTCCTTTCCCACCACCAAACCCTAAACCCAACCAACTTGTTAGTGTTTCCTTGCCAGAGAATCAGCCACCAACAAACCAAAGAGCTTGTCACGCCCCTTCTAGTCATTCAGTGTCAAAGTTTACCCATATTAACAAAATTAACCCAGACTTCACTTTCTCTTTTTCAAAACCTGTGTCAGGAGCAATATCACACCCATATCTTCATCATAATTCCCTCTCTAGTTTTGATAATGATGTGACAAATAAAAATCTTGTTAATCGGACTATGAATGAACACAACACAAATTTCTTGGTGTGCAGTGCTAGCAATTCATGCAGTGGTGGTGGTAGTGCAATGGTATCTGGTGATGGTGTTAGTAATAGAATGGTGATGGCTACATCTGTTGTTGGGGAGAGGATCAGTTATCCCAATGCAAATAAAAATGGCAACTGCAGCAATAGCACAGCAGCACCATTAAGCAGCAATAGCAGCAGCAGTAGCAGCAGCAGCAGTAGCAGCAGCAGTGGTGCACCTCGTACAAACTCGCTTCCCCGTATGGGTGTGAAAGGAAAGGCTGCAGCCATGTCTGCTCGGGGCTCTCCTTGCCCCGCACCTCCACCCCCACCCAAAGGTGCTCCTAATCCACTAGCTGCCCTGCGATCTACTGCCATACTAGACAATAGCCTGTTCTGGGTAAGGGTGTAAAATTAAAGCACCAGCTTTGCATGGCATGATGGCCTGGCACATGCATGAATAACTGTACTGTTAGCAAAAACCTTTTTGATCAAGACAAGTATTCTGTGTTGTAATACAGTATTTATTTAAATGCATGTATCTTTTCTTTTTCCAAAGTACTATACAAACATGTTTTTTTTTTTTCTGCTATTTCATATGCCAATGCATGAATTTTAATGGGTATATACTCTGTACAATGTAACTGGTGTTGCAGGGTTATAGACGAGCATTGCCTCATTCCAAGCCCTGCAGGCACCATCGCTCTTACAGTCAAGATCTTATTGGCGAGAGTCGTTTCTTGGGTTATTTCTTAGAGGTAATCGCTCCTCATACACACACATGGATGTGACAAATTTGATAGCACTTTTATGTTGTTTTATGTAATGCTTCTGTATTGATTTATTATTTGCTTTTTTTTTATTTTAGTTTTATGATAATTTTTATGATTATCCATAGTCATAGGATTTGAACTGTAAACAGCATTTTATGTTTGGTGTTTTGTGTTCCAGAATAGTATTTCGATATTGTTTGTATGTTAACAGAAAACTTTTCATATAGTCATTTATTACTGATGTTTTGATTGTGGTGCTGATGTGTGCATTGTCATACAGTATTTTGCAGTTTTCTGTATATTAGAAATTCTTTCCATAGATAATAGTAGATAGCACATACATATGTTAATATCTTTATTATATATTTTGTATATTTTGTTTTGACATATAATGTTTGAAGCATTTCATCTAATTTTATAAACTGTGTAGCAGCAGAGTCTTGATGGTCCAAGGTCATTAGTTGCAGAAGCCTCACGGCACGTTAATCTTGACTGTTCAAACAGTACGTGTATTTAAACAGGAAATGCAATTCATATTGTGTCAATTCATATTGCAATTGCAATTCATATTGCAATTCATATTGCAATTGCAATTCATATTGCAATTCAAATGCAATTTTTAGTGTCGCGGGGACACTAAAAAAAAGCCCCGAAATCATCTCAAGATAACCTCAAGATATGTTTGTGCGCATATGCAATGTGCTTATTTGAATGTCTGTTTTTATACCAGAGCCCCCCCAAAATTTAATTTTTTACAAAAATTTCACATGACTTGTCATCCAGTTTTTCTTTTAATGATAGGCCCGCATACTTTCCTGTGGGAATCATAAATATTTATTATTTTTAAAATCAAAAGTAAACTGTAGTACAGTATTGTGCTTCAAGTGCTAAGTGCTGTAATCTGCAATGAGTGTGTCAAGAGATTGTGAAGCCATTAAGTGCTATCTCCTCACAATTAATGATCATTAGCCCTCAGAAGGACCAGTGCTGCCACTCTCTTACTTAAAGCACATTTGTTACATTGAGTGGGTTGATTAGCAAAAATTAAAGCACGATTATCTGAAAATAATACAATATTGATGGTTTAAGACAGAGATTTTGATATTTCCAACACAGACTAATAGGCTTTTTATTACTAACAATCAATGTGATTCAGTGTGAAATTACTGACCCTGAGTTTTTTTAAAAACAAAAATCATATAAATCAAAAACTTAATATGAGTTTTGAGTGATGTATTCAGCATGTGTAATGTTTTGCAAGTTGCAACTAAAGACTTGCTCACAACTGGTGATAAATCAAGTCTCTGTTAAACATCATCTCGGATAATCAAGACTTGACTACATGTATTCAAGCGTGTACACACATACAATATAGTCTACATTTTTGACAGTTTCAGGTCCATCCACAGCACATATTGAAACACACTCACACACACACACTTTATAGGCAAGATTAAATTGATGCAGTGTGTTTACAATTGTCTTGGTTATTTTGTTAACACATACACTGTACAGTATTTGTAAAAAGTCCTAAAGTAGTAATATGGCCTATGTCAGAATTGTACTTTAAAAGTTATTAGTATACTCATGGGAGAGAAGGAGGGGTAGTTAGTACAGGTTAATAATGCAGCCCATAATGTTGTTGGATTCAAATTTCAGTACATCTTTTAAAGAAGGTGTTGTACACAGTATTTAATTTATAATGTACTGTATTTCCAGAAGTTTATCTTAAAACATGCTATATGTATATACTTTTCTTTGATGTGAATTATTGTGTGCAAAATCAAACAAATACCCACATATACGCCCTATATACATACATTGAACAAAATTTTATCTGAACACCTTAGGGGCCTGAAAATGTTCAAATAATTTAATGATCCTCCAGATACTGGATATATAAAAGAACACAAAAATAATTACTTTTGCCAAAATTTTATAAACAAGTATTATTATTATTATGTGTTAGACACACATACTCACAGAGGCACAGCATTATGTCTTTTGGTCTTCATATGTCATTTGTAGCATGGAAACCTTACTTATATCTTTAAGTTTGATTTGCACAGTAAATCTTATAAAGGAAGATAATTATTATTAAAAGAATATCATACTCTTATCGTTCCCGTATTTATCTTGGTGTAGAATCTTGCTCTGGGTGTCATGCTTCATCATTCATATGTCTGCACTTTGCTCTGTACTGAGGCCTCTCTTGCAAATTAATTAAAGCTATGTTAGTGTTTTGGTCCATCATTGTGGAAGTGATTGACTGAATTTTCTTAGATGTAATCCAAAAGCATATGATTAAGCTTGTGCAACAGTTTGAGATATGCCAATTAGATCAAAACAAAAGATCTGATCTGGTGGCTGGCACTCAGAAACTATGTTTGCTTTTCCGAATGGGTCTTTGTCAAAAGGGAACAATGTCTTTCCCAATAATAGGGGTTTGGATAATATATTGTTCAGTGTATGTATTAAAAAAACTTACATTATTAAAATAAAATAAAACAAAATTTCAACACTTACCCTGGAAACCTCTTCAATACAGTAAAAAAAATTTATAAGTTCATGTGGGTGGGTTATATACTAAAGTAGGTCTCTCATACATAGTCGTGTTAACATTTCCGTCAAACGTATTCTTCTCCCTCCATGATAGCACAAGGTCCCCCATGTTCCTCGGGCATGTGGAAATTAGGTATGACTTGGTATTAATGCTGATCAATAGATTTTTACCTGCTCCTTTAACTTTTTGCAGACAGAATATAATATGGTTATACCTTTATAGTCATCATCTTTGAGATAATTATTTTTATCTCGATAATTATTAATTATTTTAATAATTATAATTATTAAAATTGGTTGAATTCTAAAACAACATATGCAAATTACTGTTTGTTAATCTTGGCTTTCTACACGTTACTCTTAGTGTAGCATAGTTTTTTCTTGTAAAGTACATTGCAGTGCTTGGTACATCCAAGATGTATTTTCCCACCTGAGTATGCAAATTACTATAGAATTAAAGTTGATGGCCATAATTTGTAAAAATGACAAATATAAACAGGTTCTTTTGATGGAAGCCTTAAATTATATATGCAACAATTTATTTTCTAGTAATTTTCAACATGATAAATGTAATCTCAACTCCAATATAGATTACACCTATAGAATATGTCCTTCGACTAATACGACTTTTTCAATCGACAGCGGCTGGATCCTGTCCCCAGTGATCCCAAGCCCGACACTCGGCACACCCGGTCTCACAGCTACGACCTCTATGGTGATAATATTGGACGACCTGGGAGTCGTACAGCCTATGCCGACCCCCATAAATATTCTCATTATGTCAATTATGAACAAATACAACAACATTTACGGTAAGGAAACTTAGTACCAATTTGTATTGTACAGTGCTGTTTGATGGCTGAAGGATTCCCTTTGTCTTGCAATATTTTTCCCATTATTGCTGTTATATTTTAACTTCAAATTCATATTATAGTTTTCCGCAAGAAAATTGCCTGAATATAAGTTTTTGTTGTTAGCAAAAAACATAGAAAGCACTGCTAAGAATCTTTTTTACTTTTAAGTCTTAAAATAGAATTTCCTCTTCATGATCATTTCTAAGACTAACCTTGGTGATGGGAATGGTGGTGGTTCAACTCTTGCTATTAGTGCAGTAATGAACAAATAATTCATTCATTGGTTTCTCCTCCCACTTGATGTTAGTCTGTGAAGAAGTCGGTGCACAACAGCAGCAGATTTAGTATTTGGCAAAACATCGTCAACTAATTTTTATGCAGTAGAGATTATTTGCTTTAATTCTAATGTAATAAAATCACAAGTGAAAAATAATATTAATAAATATTTTAAGTCATCATCAAGTACATTATTAATTTGATAATACTGCAGGCTGCTAATAAAAAAAAAGCCAACTACATGGATTTATTATCTTGCACACACACACACACACACACACACACACACACACACACACACACACACACACACAAATAAAGGCACAAAAAAATTTATACCAAAACAGAGATGCAGAACTAGGAAACAGGATTGGTTCAATAGAAATTGCGAGAGGGCTAGAGACCGAAAGACACAAAAATGGAATCAATACAGGAAGAGGCCGAACCCCCAAACATACCAGCGATACAAAGATGCGAGAAACAACTACACGGCAGTGAGGAGAGAGGCAGAAAGAAATTTTGAAAAAGGGATTGCGGACAAATGTAAAACAGAACCAGGTCTATTCTATAAATTCATAAACAACAAATTGCAGGTAAAGGATAATATTCAGAGGTTGAAAATGGGAAATAGATTCACGGAAGATGAAAAGGAAATGTGTGAAACACTAAACGAAAAGTTCCAAAGTGTGTTTGTACAAAATGAAATCTTTAGGGAACCAGATACAATAAGAATTCCAGAGAACAACATAGAACACATAGAGGTGTCTAGAGACGAAGTGGAAAAAATGCTCAAGGAGCTCGGTAAGAACAAAGCAGCTGGCCCAGATGGCGTTTCACCATGGGTTCTGAGAGAATGTGCATCTGAGCTCAGCATTCCACTTCACCTGATCTTTCAGGCATCCCTGTGTACAGGAATCGTAGCAGACGGGTGGAAACAGGCTAACATAGTTCCAATCTACAAAAGTGGCAGCAGGGAAGACCCCCTCAATTATAGACCTGTATCATTGACAAGTGTAATAGTGAAAGTATTGGAAAAACTAATCAAAACTAAATGGGTAGAACACCTAGAGAGAAATGATATAATATCAGACAGACAGTATGGTTTTCGATCTGGAAGATCCTGTGTATCGAATTTACTCAGTTTCTATGATCGAGCCACAGAGATATTACAGGAAAGAGATGGTTGGGTTGACTGCATCTATCTGGACCTAAAAAAGGCTTTCGACAGAGTTCCACATAAGAGGTTGTTCTGGAAACTGGAAAATATTGGAGGGGTGACAGGTAAGCTTCTATCATGGATGAAAAATTTTCTGACTGATAGAAAAATGAGGGCAGT